CCCACGTGTGTATTCACATGTATGTGACGTATGTATTATGTAAAAATGTATGTTTTACAAAAACAGATGATGTGACTTGTCAGCAGTGAAAGCGAAACATAATATTACCATATAAAGAAAGTGCAGAAGCAGTGATACAGCCAAAGGAGACCAGGGCCGTTGAAGCAGGCGGTTAGATCGGGCCCCTTAAAATATGAAAGACGCGAGGCATAAAAGTTGCGTTGGAAATTTATAGCTCGCAAGAACCGATGAAGATTCTGAGATACATTGAAGATTCAGTAAAAAATAATAACATGCAATTCTCATGCCAACTAAGGGAGACACTGAGTGGATAAGAAGACAGAGTGGGGAAATAAATAAAAAAGATCAGATGAAACAATCACAGGTGTTCTGCTGCGGCGGACAACGGGCTCAGTTTACCAATATTGAGCATATATCTCTCCTTGTAACATATGTGTAGATTATGTGTCTTTGTATGCCTACATTTATGAACTGAGTGGCAATTCCATTGATGCAACGCCATAGCAGGCATACGTGATGACCCGTATGGATTAACTCGACCATATGGGTTACAAAAGTAAGAAATTAGTAGACCATCAAGCCAGTAAGAAGAAACCAGGATTTTACCTTTCAATAGGCTTTTTTTTTTATATGGATTCATGCAAAAAGATGTTCAGTTTTTAATGCTAACTGACACACATAACACACTATCATAACGCACACGGTAGCTTAGTATATACCGTTAAAGTATTATTGGGTTTAGACTTGAACACTTGAGTCTTCAGCGGATATTTCTGCCGGCTTACCAAGACAAAATAAGTATTGGGTTGGATGTGTTACCTAACGTCGTATGGAACTGTCCGATTTTAATAAACAAAAAATTCCTTTTACTTCGGATTCACGTGCATCACGCTTGTGTTTTTATCCTGGTTTTTAGTAATTCGTTGATGTCTGGCAATCGTTCAAGAATTGTATAGCTAGTAAACTAGTCTTGCTTAGTTCATACGGGTAGACTAATAACAATTAGATCTATAAAATTTTATAACGAACATGTATGCTTATATTTACAAATAGGTCTCTGACGGTCTTTTGGTGTATATGCCTATGGGCAAGTCAGGAACGGGTTAAACCGTATAATGTAATTCCCTAAGTCATTTAGCGCATGTCTGTTATCCTATCATTCACTTACAGTTGCATGTTTTAACTACGATAATTTTGATTTAAAGGCCAGAAAAGGGTAAGATCTATGGCAGTCTACATAGAATGATGTTTAGCAGCGCAATAACTAAAAACAGTGGGATAAAAATGTTGTCATTTTCTAGATATTTGATTACCTTCCCAGCAATCAACAAACGACACTTAAATAAAAAAAAAAGCCAAGGTCAGCAATTATCAATACTAAGATTGATTTTCGGTGAAACACAAGCCAAACAACGATAAAAACGAACGGTACAATATTTAATAATGCCATTCGTCGTGTTCATTAACCATGTATCGTTCTTTAAAGCCTAACTGTAAAGCTTATATTTATGCAGAAATGTATGTATCGTTCTACGAGAAATTTGAAGAAAAACTGCTAGGTATCGGGGATAAGTTTTCTAGGATGTTTTACGGTAACTAGTAAGTCCTAACCTTACGTGTTTCTGAGGCAATCAACATGGATAGTTTACATGGAATCAGGAGACTCTATTGGCGTGCTGCTATAAATCAAAAAGAGCAATGTGATTACCCAACACAATACAATGAATATAGAGTTGCCTTAAATTATCGCTGAACTAGTTTCACTCCTATAATCTGTGCCGACACTTAAAAGTTCTTGATTGACCGTTCAGCAGACGCCTGAAATTTATAAGGCTATTTCCTAGAACCGATTAAATCAAAACAGCACAGAAATCGATAAAGCAACGCAGTTGTTAACATGCTGATAATGATAAGACTGAATAGGATTAACAAAAATAGTTCGTATTTTTCGACTGGATCGCTCGGTAACACTCGTGACCAGCTCAATCCGTACGCCACAGACATTCAATTCTGTTTTTGATTCTGAATGGGATTAAAATGCAGGAACCGCGAACGAATATTTTCTACGTAGAATTGCACAAGTGCATAGTTAGTACAGATTTTAACATAAAATTCACACCGAATTCCGTTCGAAATTGAATAGCAATTCCTTGCCTTTGCGAATATTCTGTGTGTTAAAACTGGAGCGTACATCAATATAAGTACTTTGTTTTCATAAGAAGGGTTTGTTTGAACTCGAAAATTTTCTTGGCAATAAAATACCGACTTCCTTATATTTTTTCGATTGTGTTGACTGCTGGTTATTTTTCTCTATAAATTTACAACGACGCATTTGCCTTAACGTGAATTTTCAATAAATACTTTATTGCAGACGAACAGCTGGAGTTCTTCTGTGTTTATTTGATGCTTCTATCTTCCTTGTGTCCTTGCAATTGTAGATGTATTTTCATTATGGCAGGATGTTGCAGATTTCATAACAAACGAAAACGTCAACACGACTAAGACACGAAAAGAAAGAAAACGTCCAATTAGACGACGAATGATAAAGTATAATTTCTTTGGCTCCACCGTTTTTTGCAAGCGACTTATCCATCTTATCATCGGGTAGAAAAATTGCGGTAAACTTAAATCAGATTGGGAGAAATTAGCTTGTATTAAAGGTTCTCGAATTCTAGCCAAAATTTTGATCGAGGCATGCCGAAATATTGAGCCTCGCTCATATGAATATTCTCAGAGATGGGCAAGATATAATGCAAATAGGCCTCCCGTGGTTTTCACGTGCTACACCCAGAATATCTAGAATTGTACAAAAATTCGCCGACCTATTATCGCCACAACTGTAAACTTTCTTAAAAAGCCTGTCTCAATTAAAAAAAAAATGTTAAAAATCAAAGTTTAATACAGAATTTTACTATAACTACTTAAAGGCCTCAATAACCTAAAGCAAAGGCATTCTACGTTATGTTAGACTAGAAGCTATGAGTACACTTAAGGAGATACGGATTGTAGGACATACTGCTTATTGTTTCTTTAAGTCATGCAGGTAATCCCAATCACGTGGATCCTGAAGATTATGGGCGCTAAAGCTTTCGTTCGGATCTATTTCTTTTAATTCAGGCCGTGATTGTAGCACAGCAATAAAGTCGTACTGTTGCGTCACACATCCATCAGGCTCTTCACGAATTCAAATTATTTGCCATCTTCAATAGTTTTCTTTTCGGGCACTGTTTCTTAACAACAAATGTCTTAGATGTCAATTGCAAGTTTTAGCATAAACTTACCCTGAACCTAATACTTCTGAACCCATTCAGAAGTATTACCGAAGCAGTTTTGTCTTTTGTTTGAAGCTATACTTTTGCTTGACACTCCTCTAGTAGGTAACACACAACTAACCCATCGCTCGTCTGCGTAAATGCTGTGCTTTAGTTAGGCTTCCTGCAGATAATAGATTTGCAAATCGTCTCTAGACTACACCATACGTGTTTCTATTTACCATGAACTCAGTTTAAAAGGTACTCAATTTGTATTTCTTTTTTCATTTTTAGCGTTTTTATCATTACTTTATAGCATGCGCCGACAGGGGCCACCAAGACTATGCTCTGTCTTGCCTAAAGCTGTCCATGACCACACCAGTTTACTCTTTTGTTTGAAGTTCTCAGCAGTAGCCACTTTCTCTACAATTTCCGTTCCTAAAATGATTGCGTTGGTAATGAACTGCGGTGGAAGACATTCGTATTTTGTGTTTTCACAAATCTCCGATGAATTTTACCAGAACAGTTACTCCTGACCAAGACAACCATAATCACTAAGCCCTGATTCTAAACACTGAATTAAATTCTTTCCCATAATTTGATTACTCTTATTCCTTTTTTTGTTATTACTGAAAAATAGTCAAAGACTATATAGATATATACTCAATTCTGTTTATTAATAGTACTTGGGCACCCTGAACAGTTCCGAACAAGCCAATGTTGGCATAAAATGTATATGTCTGTATCTGCTTAAACTGGTACTACCAATAGTTTCCATTGTATCTATTAGCTCGGTCAGCCTGTCTACACGATTCATGAAACAGCTCCTAAAAGTTAACTACAAATCTTTGACAGAATGTTATATAAAATTGAAGATCTCACAAACATGTCAACTACATGTGGTCAACAGGACATTCGAACCTACCCCAAAATACTCCACTGTGATATCACATTAATTTAAATTTCCCAAAACAGGTATTTATGAATAATGCGGTGCATGAAAAAACGTGTTAATGCCCTCGGCCATTTTATTCCGTAGTTTCTGAGCATGGTTTGCCTCATATATGAAGAAGTGAGCTCATTCAAATTGACAAACATCTTTACTTCAGTATACAGTCAACGGATGAAGTATGACTACTTATAGCTTAGAACGTTTAATGCTAACATTGTACTAATGGCTGCATAGACGCAGAGTCGAACGCCTTTCTACTGTCGAGTTGTATTAGCCCTGAAAGATAAAATGTACGCTAGAAGCTCGTTACTTTAAAGTTATTTTTTCTTTTGTCTGTACGCTAAGACCATGAGGCTAAGTTAAGAATAATGCTGAAGACTTTTTGTTTTTGTTAAGTCGGACGAATTAGGCAAAAGTTGTAGAGAATAAAAAGAAACGCTGTCGAATAGGATCTTCACAGGACTGGAAATAATTTGTATATCTGCATCACTTCGGATGTTATGAAACTGTCCCACTATATTTAAAGAGCACGCCGTTCGCTCTGCGAAGGTTTCACTCTCGGTGACTCTTCGATAACAGTTTTTGTAGACTGCATATAAGACTCATGAAGATAATGAAACTGGAAAAATTCCATTTACCTAATAATGTATCCGCGAAGATGCTATATTATGCTATTTATGTTAAACATAAGCAATGGCCCATGAATATTACGAATAAAATGAGTAAAATGTTTAATATTTCCATCATACCAATGGTACACAAACAAGTGACTTTTATCAACCTTTACAACACTGAATAAATACCTCGTATGGTGATCCTGAAACATAATATGGACAAATGACGACAATACAGTACTACAATAATAACAACAATAGTATAGGTTTTATATTATTTAGACCGTTTGAGATGTGCAGCCGCCAAATTTCAAGATCTTGGTATATTTGGTATGGAATGTTGAGGAAACTATTTTGTGCACTAGGCTGAAAAATAAGTTCCGCATTTTAAAAAAAAACTTTCTGATTTCTCCTGTTTTGCTGTTAAATCAATCGAAAACGCTCTTCCTGCTCTATCATCGTGCTGGAATAATACTATGTTAAGAATCCAATTTCAGCTCGAAAGGTCTTCTCAAGGATGGATGTTCCAGGTGAAAAAAGTGTGGGTTTCGGAACTGACACCAAAATACCGACGAAACAGTTAGGGATATTTGCGTTGTGTATGGTGATAATGCCATCACTAAAACAATGCTCAAGAGCAGATTACTAAGTTTGAAAACAGTACCGGAACCTGAAGAATGGACGCCGTTCAGGTCGATCAGCTAAGTTTGATGACCACCATGTGGAGGACCTTTGAAGTAGGACGCACGACAAAAATCTTTATGGAACTGCAAAAGCCTGATTCACTGGTTACTGGTTATTTCCTACGAGTTAGCTAATTGATCGGTGCGTTGATTTGGTCCAGCTGCATCGTGTCAACAAGGCTATTCAGTAAAGAAGCCCGATGTACGAAATTAGGCCATCCGGCTGTATACCAAGGCGAAGCCACACGCAGTAAACATCGTCAAAGTTCCTCTCTCCAACTTCGAATGAGAGATTTTATTGCACTCTCATTGTTCGCACCAACAGACTTCTGCCTTTCCTATTCATTGGGCAATTACCTTCGTGGCCCTACCTTCAACACGGATCAAAAACTCAAACCGTGGTTGAAAAGCTTCCCTCAGATGAAACCCGCTGTTTCGTGACAAAGAGGATATATATCATTTGATGGAGAGATGGGAGATATTTATATTTATACATAATTACAGAGAACACTATATATAGTGTTTATAACCGCTCCTCTGTAAGCATTTTTCTACATCGCTTTCAAATTCGGAATCGGTTCCTTCACTAAATATAGCAATAAAGAGGAGTCATCTTTTAATATCTTACGAGTTTTTCTTGGATAAATCAAAATATAAACATAAACAATTTTGTCACACGAAATCTAGTAATAAATTATAACTATTAATATTATTATTATTTATATATTTCTTCCTATGTAAAGAGAATTACAAAATACATCAGGCAAATACAAATTATTTACACATCTATTTACTGCTACTATTTAACAGGGAGATTCGATATCAACAACAATATTAAGCTCTGCGTTTCCCATATACAGATTTTTTGATTCCATCAAGTCCCACTTGTGCCCACTACAAACTTAGTTTGCCACTGTCAGCATTTGCACTTGCCACCCACAAACACCATGACCAAACTCTTCCCTATGTTCCGCGATTAGACAAAAGCTCTGCTAATTTACATGACATCTTTTACTAGGAAGCTAAAAACCGCCAATTACACCAAGTATGAAATTCCATTCGTGTAACTCCATTTGATTTGGTGACTACAACTGTACAAAATGTATTTGTATGGTATTTTTGTAAACGGATTGAAAATCAGGAATCTGCCAACGAATTGTACAGTTTGACAATTGCGCTAAGCGACATTTCTGAATCCTTAAGCTGCAGGAAGAGTGCCGGAAGCCCTCTAGGGACCTGCTCTGGTCGGCGACCGTACCACACTTCGTATGAGGCATTATTGATTGTAGAGTGGGTAGTGCTGCCCGTCCCCTTGAAACCTTCTAACTGTGATTCTACTTCGGCCACGAGCTCGCGTACAACATTCTCTCCACAGATAGAAATCTGCTTCTGGAACGAATACGCCAAAAATTCGTTAATCATCTTGAACTGCTGCAGGTTAAATGTGCAGTCGGGTTCGAGTCGAAGTGACATTAAGTCGGTGAGAATCGGTAAAAGTTCCATCTGTTCATCAGCTGCACACTCCATAACGATTGTGCAGAGTCTTTCTTGAACCTGGTCTCGCGTCGCGCCAGGCAGAAGCAGGTTTTCCACGAACTTCGCTACCATTGGAGTGTTTGAGAAGCTTTCGAGGTGCTGAAGTCGATTTTCCACGTTACGACCGCGCAGGGCTTCCTTGATATGGCACTGGGCGAGCGTTGTTCGGTATCCTTGTGGGTCCTCAACGTATGAAAGACAGCCGGCCTTTTGTTTCACATAAACAAACGATCGATTCTGGAGGACCTCCTTCAGGAGGTGCATATTTTTTTCACGGAATTCGACCTTCCAATAGCGTTCGTCGTCAACAGTGACAGTGTCTATAAATTCGAATGGAGGTAGATTGCAGGGTGCCAACATTTCTTCACTTTCACCTTTGCCCTTCAGAGAAACCTTGATCTTTGATTTGACCAACTTATTCGACACAACATCATGACATACAAGAAGTCTGGGCTCTACAGCTAATACGTACAGGTGACGCAAAGCCTGGAGGTGGTAACGATTATCCGAAAAGTGGGTCGGAAATTTTGGGTAGAGGGCGCACACAAGTGCGGCAATAGCCTCAGGCTTTGTGGATAGCGTGAGACTTCCGCCTCCTAGAAATAGAAATCCAATAGCCATGTGAATCATCATATGACTGCCGTAGAACACGCAATTGGTGCTCTGGCCGATCCTCTTCCGAAGAACCCGACAGAGTCGAAGCACGTCCAGATCACCCGTTCCTGCCATGACAAGACTGCAGGCAAGCAAGCATACCAATAAACTGGTTTCAATCGTGTTTTTGCCTGCCTGTTCAGCTGCCGGTTGTTTTTGGATGTCGTAAAACATCATTGTATAATGCATCAGTGTTTTAAAAGCATCCTTGTTTCCAGACCCTGCAAACTTTAGCCCAAGGGCGAAGCACGCTCCAGCTAAGGTATTACAGTATGCTTGAGTGGCGCCTTCATAATCAATAGTGTCTAGTGGGCTATTTTCTGAGGGCCTCTTAAAAGCGTTTTCCTTGATAAATTGGGTGAGATGGCTTTCCACCCACTCCTTAGTAGGTGACACCCGAGACCATAAAATAAGACCTTTACTTAGCGTTCTTAGGAGCAGATAATCTGGCTGCACAGAGTCCAATAGATATTGCGTCTCAGGCACGCTCATTAACGAGGCAATGTTTTGGTTCTCCGTTGCGTGATAGATCAATCCAAGAGCCAAGGTGGCTCCAGGAGAAGTGACACTTATATTTATATGGTCTCCCTCGCGAATCTGATAACTGGGCGAGCGGTGTGTTCGATTCGCATCCCCCTGAATTGGACCGCCTACCATATAGTTGTATAGTGTGTTACTCAATTTGCTTTGCATTACCTGAGAACTATCCGCACCTTTACAGAGCATCACCATCCCCAATGCAATACCAGCACTTAAAGAATGACTCTCTCGATCAATGCAGTGCTCCATTTCTGGTCCAGGAGGACGGCCTATCTCGCTGAGTAACACGTCGCACATATGTTGATGGCCTGACCCTAAATAGAGCAGACCAAGGGCAGAAATGGCGGCAACACGACACTCGGCAGAGACATCAAGCTCCGTCGATGTCGACGGAAGAAGCGCATCGATGTGGATTGCTATTAGATTCGTGGCTTCTTGACTCATCGTCGCCTTTTTCGATGCCCCTAAACCAAGAAGTACGCCTGCACTCATGATTGCGTTACGTTTACGGAGTAGCTCGCATATGAATACGGGGTTTAGTGCAGCAAGGTGTCCGGAAAGGCCTAGGCCTAGCATAAAACCGCCGAATTCTAAAACACCACCATTATTGCTGTTGTTACTATTTCCACTGTTTGTGTCTGCATTCATCTCTTGATACGTCTCGTTTAAAGCTATCCACGCGCTCGTCACGTTTTTGGCGTTTCTAGCCACTCGTAGCCCGGCAGCGACGCCATTATGGAACAAAGGCCACTGTGTCATATTCGGTGGCGTCTCGATGTTCTTCATTTCAATCACAGTATTTTTAGGTGGAACTCGTCCAGTGAGATCACAGTGCGGAATAGCAATAGGTTCACTGATGATGGGGTGGATCGAGTCAAGTGTGAGCATTCCACGGCCTAGAGGCAGCGCCAGTGTTCGAATACACAGACTGTATAAATGGCGTTCTTGCTCCTCGGCGAAATCATGATCGCTCATGTCAGCTCCCTGCTGAATATTGATTGTGACTGGGGTCGATGTCGCAAACATCGAGCACACCTCTTTAATACGATAATCTTCACCGAAACGTAGCGCTAGCATAGGGTGAAACAAATTCTCAAAACCTTCTCCTCCTTTTGTTCCTTCGGTGGGTAATGATACGAACGAGTGTGGTTTAGCTTTCCCCGACAGATGTACTTTTTTGACCTGTTTCGCCAGATCTCTCCGTCCGAGAAGCGAATACAATTCCTCGTTAAAGTCGTGTGTACACCGCTCAGTTAACTTCTGAATAAGATTGCTGAACATAAAGCGGTAACCTAGCCGTACGTTGAGTTTAGACACATCGGGTGATGACAGAGTCTCGACAAGGTTTGCCGGGCTGCTCTTCCACACTCTTATTGCAGGCAAATGCTTATAGGCCATCTCTCCTCCAGCAATAAGTGATCCGAACACCTGGATTGCCCACTGAATGTTACTAGTCACGCCGGCCAGACACGGAAACACCTTTCCTGCAGAGTTGCCCGCTAACGCACTCAAAATGAACTTCATAAAACTGGGCGGTTCAGTCTCGAAAAAGTCTGGCATGCGAATGTTTCTCAGGCCTCTTTCAGGCTGCTTAAGAGCCTTGACATTCTTCATTGTAGGAAAATCGCGGAGATAGTAATCACGGTAAGAGCACAACGCCAGTGACGAAGCAAGTCGGCATAAATACTCTGCCATAACCCTACAATGTTCTCCTAAAACACTGTTAACCTTGAGATCTTCATATACAATGTGTAGAGCAAATAAGATATGATAACAAAGTGGACTGAGCACATTGTTGAACTTGAAGCCGGGCGTACCAACCCGTAGACTATTGAAATTCACTAAGAACTGCCAATCTTCCTCATCGTCCGACTCTGTTCGTTGTCTCTTGTGTTTAGACAAACTGGGTTCTTCAATTTCAAAACCGACAAGTTGAAATAGCATGGACATGAATGTCTGTAGCTCTTTGGCAGGAGTCTTGCCGTCCATAGAGTTCTTGGTAAGAAACCATTTAGATTTTATTAGTAGAACCATCTCTGGCTCTAGTAACTGTTCTAAACCTTCAATACAATTCTTAACTGTTTCGCATGATTTTGCGCGCGGTAAAGTAAGCACATACTCTTTATTTTCTCTAACGTCCTGGATATACACCACATCAGCGCCAGCTGACTTAAACTGGTAAGCAACATTAACGGGCGAACGAAGGAGATCATTTGAGCTGGAGCCCCGAGATCTTCGGGTCTGCATTAGTGGTGAAGACGACATTAAAGGGTTATTGACTGCGCACAGTTGTGTTGTTCCACTGTACAGAAATAGGTGACCCTCAGCGGATGTCATTACAAGCATCATCTTAAGCGACTCAACGTGCTCAAAGTCGTAGGCCACGATCTCACCAGCGGGTGCAAAGTTTCCCGATGACAATTTAAAGAGACGCAGCTTCTTCATCGAAGCCAGGTACAGAACAATATATTGGTTTCCAAGGAGGTCATCAACGATGCGCACTTTTTCTGTTGAATTGGGCACAACCAATTTATCAATAAATATTACATCGAGAGTCAAATCTGAAAGAACTGGTTCTGAGATGACTGTGATGTTTGCATTAAGACGGCTTAACATAGATGATGACATAGAAGTTCGATTGAATCCAGGCACTGAAAATGTGGCACTTAAAAGGTCAGGGTTTTGTGTTGATACTGAAAAGTGGCTGCTTGATCCACTTCGAACAGGCGTTCTAATTGGAGTGCTTCTCAATGGTGTAGACTTTTGCTGTACACGCATTAGTCCTGGGCTGTGATTTGAACGACTTTTTGGAGTGTCTGTAAGGCGACTTCGGAGCGGATATGAAGGAACTGGTGTGGACTGATTAGCGGGCGACACAACTGGCGTCGAAGAAAAAAAGGCGGGGCTGTTTACACGTTGTAAACTCAACGTATCTTTCATTTTGAGCCCGCCATGTAACTCAGCGGAGCTCGCCAGTCGTAATCGACATACGGAATGGACAAGCTCGCGGCTATTGTAGATTACCACATATTCGCTGTTTTCCGAACTGAAGCATATGCTGACACCATCGTGTTGAATGATTTTTCTGTGAGGCGTATAGACGATCTCTACGGGCGCCAATTCATCCAGTGGATGGAACAAAGAGAAGATTTTTGGAGCTTTGCTATCCCTTGAAGCCACTCTCTCCAACAAGACGCCTTTATCCGTTGGCCAAATGCGTTGTACGTCAAATGGTACATGTGTAACAAAGTCTTTACCATCGCTACTGAATGTGTGCAGCAACTTACTGCGAGAATTCAATGCTGATATGCAGTTGATCCGCTTGAGATGTATCGACGCCTGTTCAAGGTTCACCTTGAGAACAGCACGTGACTTGATGTCATTAGTGCAATACTTCGCCCAGAATACCTCATTACGTCCTTCGGATAGTGTAAACGTCTTCAGTGTTCGTTGTATGTCTGCTTTGACTTCTGTGAGTACAAGAACGTTTCCCTGGAGGCATAGCTCCTCCTGCACGGGCTCATCACCCGCGGTGGATCGGTAGCGACGATACACCGTTGTCCTGGGGGTTTAAAATTGTAATTCATCTTGTTAGTAATAATACCGCAGATAGTTCATTTAGAAAATTATTGATTTTGTTTTAAACCTCAGAATATCTGCGACACGCCGTACATACTAAGCATTTTTTTAAAGGGTGGTAGGCTACAGAGCAGAAGAGAAAAGTTGCTTAATAGCGTCTCGGAGTCTCGTGGCATAATTTCCCAATTGAGAAAAAAAAAAACATGTACGTATAAAGGGACCTTGTTGTTTAAGCTAATATGCATTTTATATAAAATGAATACAAACGAACAGTAATTTTTGAATATACGAAGACAAATAGTAAGTCACACAAGAGCCATTCTGCGTTCACTATTCTTGACTTATAGCCTTGAAATTGTTATACGTATCAATTGCAGATAAGCAGCGAAATGTATTTAATTCAACTTAGAACTTTTTTTTATTGACGTTGGTATATATAGGTGAAGCTACCGCATTTACCCTAAAATAATCAAAACTGAGTGTTTTTCGATGACTATTGGTGATGGTGTAGGGGTTTAATAAAGGAATGTATAAAAAAAAACGACAGAACTAAAAGTGGTGTGGATAAGTTTATAAAATGACCCAGTCGTCTCTGTCAGTATGTAGAGATTTAGGGCCTTTAGTTGCAAATATTCTGCAAAAATTCGAAAAAAGGGTCAACAGCTTGTGTCAGATCGCAAAAATATACGAAGTACGGGCAGTTATGACGTGCTTAGTACTAATAAAAAGGAAATAACATTCGTTTTTGAAAATATATTAGCTATTTGAAATTCTTCTGTTTTATAAGGTCTTTAAACCTCGTCTCTGGCTTTTAGCTCATCAATCAATTTTCTGCTCTATGCTATTAGTTCTTCTTTATAGTAGCAACTAAACTGTCAACCGATCAATCACTGACACAGACGACTGGGTCATTTTATAAACTTATCCACGCCACTTTTAGTTCTGTCGTTTTTTTTTATACATTCCTTTATTAAACCCCTGCACCATCACCAGTAGTCATCGAAAAACACTCAGTTTTGATTATTTTAGGGTGAATGCGGTAGCTTCACCTATATATACCAACGTCAATAAAAAAAAGTTCTAAGTTGAATTAAATTGAAGTAGATAAATAATGTTGTAGTGAAATGGTTTCTCGCAACTTAATTGTTAAGAGGTTTAACAATGGTTTCGTAGACAGGACTTTTTATAAATCTTTCAAAGATTAAATTTACACTAGAAAGCCCGGACAATCATGTTAGACAAGCAACAGACCGTCCTAAGAAAAATGCAATGACCTCAAATTTAGAAATTTATCAAAAAAGGTACATTACGGTTTTTTGCAGGCAATACGCATTTTAGTATTTAGTTGACTCCACTTGAGTTTGGGTGGTTTACGTCGGAAAAAATGGTTTTTATCGAATTCTAACACTTCCCTGAACTATTCGGCATGCATTTTGAAACACTTTGCACATCAGCGAGTTGCCAGATATTTTTTTCACTGAAAGGCTTTCAAGAGATAAAATTGATGACTAAATATTTATGGTAATAATGCGGGTGCATCCTTTCTCGTCGAGACCACAGAGAACGAAGCCATAATCTTTAGTAAGTTCCTAAGACAAAGCTAACTCAGATATTGTTAGTGTACGTATTTTTCCTCCAATTATAATCCTTATTTAATCAAAATAACAGTATCAGTTGTATATCGCGATAAAGAATGCACATCGTTAAGCAGAATCTGGATACAACAATGAGCGGTGTTTAAGCGTCGGTAAACTTTTTGTCCCTTGTAAAGCTCTAAAGTGAGATACTATCATCTTAGAATTTTCTAGGAAACTTTCGAGTATCTCTATGAATAAAGCGAAAAATAACTACCAAATGTCGTCAGTTTGAATACGAGTGAAATACGTAGACCTTTTTACTTCATCGTGATTAGGACTACTGGGTTCTCCCAATAAGCGTATCATTAAAAACATAAAAAGTGGTTTACTTTCCTGAGTATTCCGTCGTTCAGAAATGACTATTGTTTTTCATCTGAGACGTCTGTGCGCGCACCGCATATTCTAAGATAAACAGCCACGCCAAAGCATGTTTACAGTTCTAATCTTTCGATTAAGTCTTGCACTCTACCACCATCGCATGCTCGTAAGCTATTTGAAAGAATTAACGTTAGAATATTTTCGTACCTTACAGGTGATTTTGAACTACTGCTCTGGAGAATGTTGAGATTATTAGCATTGGTGCTACCGCTCTGATGAGGAAACAGTAAATCATAGGTACTGGAGTCAAAAGCGTCATCGATTTTTAACGGTCCCGGGTGATTCCTAAGTGCCTCACGTCCTCGGCAGGTAGCCGTACGTGGAGCCGAGGCGCAGCTCAACATCGCGTCCGAAGAAGCCGCCAGTTTGCACTGCACCGGCCCTCGGCAATTCCGAGCAACATACACACTTATCACACATCCACAAACACATAGATTTATACAGACCCGCCCCCCGCCGTCGCAGATGCGACAATAACGTAAAGATAGACACAGAGTTAGCTGTGATATATACCGAACCACTCACACGGAAAATCTATCAATATGGAAAATAGTTGGTTTTTGGCGATGCCGATCTCCGTCCAAGTGTGAACGCGGCCGCAGCGCGCCGGCAACTGCCACCGACAGGCGCTTACGCTAATCACATGTCCAAAAGAAACAGACGAGATTCAAGCAACAACCCGGTAAATTTGAAATATCGTTGAAATTAGACAAGTGCGTGTGCTTCAGTAGATAATACTTTAACTATATATATAATGCGAATACGTGATCCACTAAGCTACCACAGTCACGAATTATAATACACTTATCCAAGATCTTCAAAGAAATATAGAAAATGCAAAAAATGTTATGTTTAATTAAGATAAATCGTAGATTACTAAACCGTTGCTATTAATATTATGCAAAGCTGAGTTAGTAAAAAAAGGCAATTTGCCATTAAATCGAACTCCTATTATACACATATCACCTATCCTTGATTTTTCTTAGATACATCTCCTCAACTCTTTTAAAGTTCGATAACAGTCTTACCTCAATAAAGGATAATGTAAGGTCATGGTAGTGGTTGTAGGCTGATACGCAAAAGTGATAGCCTTATGAAGGCAAAAAAAAATATGCATACAAATATATTTTTATAATCTATATAAAGGATTCAGGAACTGCTTTAGCTTTATCATTGATCTAAATAATAGCAAGCATGAAGTCAAAAGGCCAAGAACGACCCTAAAAACGGTATGTCTTGACACGGTATTCCGCCGTAGTTAATGAATTATATTGGTTGCGAAAACATGGGTATTTTTCAACTCTCGATTTGTTTTTCTTTAAGGATGAGTATTCAGCTTTGGCTACAACTTACAGTGTAATTATAATAATGCAATGCATTATTTTTTGCATTTTTCTTACTTAACTATAAATATTGTCGTTTCTACAAATGTCTACTTTCGTGGCCCCAAAAATGTTCACGTTTCTCTTTCCGAAATACTCTAACAAAATAAAAACTCATCACATCAATACATATACTTATTACTCATTTATTTACTTTACCAACAGCAACTGTTCTTCTATTTCTTTGTACAAATGCTACACTAATGGAGTTAACACTCGTGGCATGTTCGTTGTGATTGATATCATACAACCCTATACCGGTCCATTACTAGTTTTCTTTATCCTGGCAAAGAATTTATGCCTTAATGCATTCCAGCAGGTGGCATGAAACGCTATTTCCAATTTAACAATACAACGTCACCACCTCACATCCAATGCGCAGAGAACCGTTCTCACACACACACAGACAATTACTATTGCTATTATTATTTTATATATCATTAATATGTTCTCACTGCGGGTCGTTTATCTACCAGCATCTTCCGAATCACTCTCTATAATCGTACTTTGTAGCAAAAGATTTTTTTATTTTTTTAGGATTTTTTTATTTTGTAGCCAGTCAACGGCTGAAAGTATGCATATATCAACCATAAATAGGCACAGATTTATATAAACAGTACTAAAAATCTTACAGAATTCTATATGGAGACACCACATGCATCTCTTCATACCGCATATGTATAACGGGTGCGCGCCTTAATAAATGATTAAGCTGTGCGAACATTTCAACGCAAATATGAATACGATATGTAGGACCTGACATGGCCATATCAGTAGAATGTTTGTTCGTATTTTCATTCTCAGCTATGGATACAAATTTAAATCTACCAGTATCACTAAACCCAGTGACGCTAACGATAGAAAGCTGGCTTACGTACAAGAATCCACAAAATACGTACAATCACACTCCATTACAAATTTAAACTCAAGGATGCCATCCAAAAACTAGATACGAGAGTTTCCTTTCCCTATAAAATCCTACAATTCATCGTCTAGCTTTGGCGCTATCGCGAGTTCATTCCGAAAGTAAGCAATTGTCTTCAGGAGTCCCTCTTGAAGTGGAACCTAAAAAAAATTGAAAAACAGACATTTAAATAGGTTTGTTCCCTTCCACCAGACAACATATGGCTAATACAGGTCGTGCCACAGGCTTCAACCAGCGATCCTGATTTAGGCTTTTTTTAGTTAAGGGCTTATCCGTTTAAGACTTTTCACAGGGAAATTAGTGTATACTGTCAATATAAATTGTATTAAAAACGACACGAATGTATAATATGATGCAAAGGCTTTCGAGGACGTTCAAATTAAAGCGCAACCTAAATTGAACGTATTTTATAGAAAAAAAAATACAGATTTGTCATATATTGTTTTCTGTTGCGCTGGTCTTCTTAGGTTTACAATCACAAATTAGTCAGTCGTATCCCAAGTTCGACAGACGCTCACTTCATTCTTACTCCTTTATTGCGACCATTCGAATTAGTTAATCCGTCTGGTCGCTTTGGTGAGTTTATAGAGAAAAATAGAAACAAGCCGGTCAGTAACTCGGCAAACTTATTCCAATTTAATTCAATGTACCTTTGGTTCCCAATTAAGCTCTTTTCTGGCTCGCGTTATATCAGGCTTTCGTTTCTGAGGGTCATCAATAACGCCATCCTGATGCACGATGCGAGCAGATGGGTTGGCTACGAGATCTCTGATGAGATGGGCAAATTCTGCAATAGTGTATTCATCGGGATAGCCAAGATTTATTGGCAACGTATAGTTGGAATTCATCAGGCGTACGAGGCCATCGACGAGGTCCGACACGTACTGGAACGATCGGGTTTGTTTACCATTGCCATAAATCTACGAACAACGCCATGTGTAAAATAGCAAAGACACAACAACACCCACGTAAAAGCCATGAGAAATTACTCTCACAAGACACGAATGTTATATCAGCACATTTTACGTTGATTACCAACTATATTGTATATACCTTAAAAATAACAACTAAAAGCAGGTACTAAGCAGTATTTCATTTTGTAAATCTCTCTCACTGTATTTGTTACTGTTTCAAATCAGCTTTTCTTTAATTTGATTTTCATATTTGACAATAGCAACTAACAGTGATATCACGACCCTGAAGGGCTTGCAGTACAAAGTTGCTCACGACCCGCCCATCACTCACGTGCATCCGAGGCCCGAACGTGTTAAACACGCGAGCCACACGCACTTCGACACCTTCCTGCTTAGCATACGCGTATGCCAGCGCTTCCGCTACACGCTTGCCTTCGTCGTAGCAGGATCTATCAGTGTCAAAAAATAGACGTGTACACATGAGTCACAAAAGTACTACAGAAAAAGAAAACTCTAATGTTACGTAGAACGAATAACCGCTAATTCATCCGCTCTCAACGGTTTTACACATACTTATATTTACCATCTCAAAATATTAATTTAAAATTGAGTATTTAAAAAAATTTCGAAAAGGCTCCCATACCTGGGACCTATCGGGTTTACGTGTCCCCAATAATCTTCCGATTGAGGATGCACCTCCGGATCCCCGTACACCTCGGAGGTAGAAGCAATTAGAATACGAGCTCCTACACGACGGGCCAACCCTAACATGTTAATTGTACCTAAAAGATCATTGAAGAGATCGCGTGCCATCATTTCATTACCGTAGCTTGACATAGTGACATAGTGTGCTTCAAAAAGGGATTAATGGATAAACGACTGAATAAAAATGGATCAAGGAATAAACGTTTTGGCATGTTGCCATTACTGGACGTTAGCAAGACCTGAACAAAGCAAGATAAAAAAAACTCTGATTCGTTAATTGAGCTGCTTTTTCACCTAAAGTGTTGGTTTTGATCGTCTTCACCGGGTTGATCATGTAGTGTGGTGGTGAGGCTGGTGAAGCGAGAGAATAAATTTGATCGACTTCGACAAATAATGGGTTCACGACGTCATGTTGTAGCAATTCAAAATTAGGATGGCCCAGCCAGTGCGCCACGTTCCGCTTCGAGCCCGTGAAGAAGTTGTCAGCCACCGTCACCTGGTGGCCATGTGACATCAGATGATCGACAAGATGGCTACCAACGAAACCGGCGCCACCTACCGATATCCGGGAATCAAGCAACCCATAATGGTGATAAGAAGTTTAGAAACAATGGAAACACTTCAGCACATTAAATGTTTGTTTTATGATGAGATATTTGACCAAGAAACACACTACAAGCGCACACTGCAATTCAAAGCCAAAAAATAATATATATATATATATATATATATATATATATATATATATATATATATAATCATAATTTGCCTAATCACACGAAAGAAATCGTCAACATTTAGCGTTATGTATTTTTGAAATACTGAATTCATTAATCAGCCAACATTTCAGTTAAGCAATCTATGGAAGACTGCAAATGCAACACTTTCATAATTTCGTGCTTTGTGCCTTTTATTATAATAGTAAAAATTTGGCAATATTTTTCGGTATAAATTGCTTCTAATTAGTTGTCCCTTTATGGCAAAAAAATAGCATTAATTTGTGGCATTATGGTAAAATCCGCCCTTACAATTGCCTCGCCTGACGCCTTGCTCTAGTTGTTCGAAAGGTTCAACATAGCAATCTGCCTTATATTATACATGGACGGAATCCTGTCGTATTGAAGACATTGCGGCTTACACGAGCTAACAAGGCAACGACAGCCTTGAAAGAAAGCACTTCCGTTTGTGATAACCAGACAGGGTTTATTGGGCTATCTAAAAGCCTCGTGCATAGCTATTGTATTTTCGATTGTTTCCATGTTAAACTTGACATTTGATAATCTTGACCAGCTACGCCATGGCTGACTGAATAGACCCGTTAATTGTTTAACAGCTAATAGATGGTTACTTGACTAGCGAACCATAGTGGTCTTAAAGAATTGGTACCAATGTGTTTCGAAAAGTACGAGTCGTCAACAAAGATGGTTAGTATAGTTCGCATAGAATGTAGAACGAAGTAAATATCATAGAGTAAACGATTTCTAACATAAAACCGGTAATAAATAATATAGTAGTATATAAAATTGCAGACTATTGTGATCTTGAGTAATGTACCTACCATGGATGCAGTATTAATAACACAAAACGCCTAATTACGAAGGAAATAATTTGTTTTATCGTTAATCTAAAATTGCCTGATACTGTATTTACCTGTAACGAGGATCCTTTTTTTTGCTTTAAGCGGCAAATGACGAACTTTCGGGTACGATTTTGCCACTGAACTTTTCTCGAGTTCGCGGATACGATTTTCTAATTGATGAATACGCTCCTCCAAAGACACTATTAGAGATTCTTGCTCTCCGTGATGAACACTGCAAGCCCAATTCCAGCGTGTGGCTAATTAGTGCTATGTTGAATGTTAGTCTTTTAAGGTAAATGAGAAAAACCTAAAGGTTGACACTTTAAAATTTTTGTTAATATGTTCGATATAGCAGACATAACATAATTAAGTCGAATATATTTTTTTCAAACTAATTGTAAATTTGAACGCCATAGAAACCCCCAGACACTAACTTAATAAGGGCTAAAAGTTTCTCTGGATATCAACTACTTTAGGCTCTAAAGTTCTTTTTTCCCCTAAAAAAGCTAAAAGATGATACATTTGTAATGACTTTGCAGTATCGGATATGCGATCATTTCAGCAACGAACACAACATCTACAAATATCGTAAATATATATTTCTTTGTTTCTGTTTGCTTAAGTTGTTCACTTAATTCATAACTATTTTTTTTTTGCAATCCGATTACTTAGGTACTGTTTGTTATAATTTTATAATTAAGTAAGTAACTGTATATATCAATTATATTTTTTGAATTCCTTTAATAGCCTCATAATTTACGAAATTAATTCAACGTAATTTTTTAGTAAAAAAAAAATCTTTACAAGACGTCACGTACATTTGACATCCTTCCACTCAAGAAAGCCTAAGTCATTTTCGGTTAATGTTGATGCCACAGAAACTGAAACGCTGAGATTAAGCCAGCTAAGCATTAATATTCTGTTTAGGTACATTAGAAGTTAAAGAAAACTAACGAACGCCAATATATACTCTATTTTAGCTAATAATAGTAATTTTTAATCCGTATTTTTATTTATACTTCTAAAAATAATAACAATAATAATAATAATAAAATAAGTAATAGTAATTATTATTATTATTTATTCGTACCTGATTTAACGATCTGTTACTGACGGCATACCTGTTTAAATATGCATATATATTTGATTCATTTATCTACAGTCAAAGACAGTGAATAGAAACGAATATCTGTTTCTTCTAAAATACAGAACCTACTCATTATTCACGCGGCGACTCTGCGTATTGTCTTGGATAGATTGGCGCGCTGGCGAGGTATTCTCTATTAGCTGTAGAGAATCGGCCAAATGTTGATAGCTTAAGAAAACTGCAAACGATTCGAAACAGAATTCAATGGCCACCACATATCAATGTCACGTATCAAGTAGAATGCTGACTGTCTAGACACTGATTGCTAATTAATGCCTTGTAGAGAAAGGTAGATTTCCAAAGATGTTTTACCTGGGAACTGTCTGAGGGCTCCAGCTTATTGATGAAGTTGTGGTTAGATACTCTGAAAGCATCACCTACCTAATGCTATTGCCGCGAAGCAACCAATGCAATAGTATAATCTCATCTTAGATAGTCCTGGTCGTCGATAACACCATTGCAGCTCCATTTGTGCCAGAGGCGTTCAAGGAGCTGTCGAACCAGAGCACAGCATCTTGCTACACACCGTTACGGCACTACACTATACAGAACGACAAGGTCTCCCCCTGCGCGGCCAGCTTTCGAAGTTTCTCCGCCAAAGGCTTGGCGCAAACACAATCAGGGTCAAAAATCGAACACTGAACTACGGAAAGATTTCATATGGGCGTCGCCATCTTGGATTGTGCCGGCAAATTTAAACCGATGTCGAAACTTGTTGCTGTCTCCTTGTCTAATGGCAAATACAATAGTATACCTAGCGAATTGACGTAAATGAACGAAGTCATGGATGCAATGCATTTCGTTTTCGCAATAGACCCGGCAAAAGCGCAACCTTCACAGCGTCGACGTGCTTTGAAAGAAGGTCCGCTGTGATAACAACAGCATTTTAGTGCGTGTCTACCGTGAGATCACAAACCGCCGGGTTCTTTGTTTACCATATCCTTTTCGTTTATACTGTCCTCGTTCGTGATAATCTAAACGTTTATCTATTCTATTTTATCGGCTAAATGAGGCGGACAGCAGCAACTGAGCGTCCTACAGCTTTGTGTCGAATACAATAAAATATTCTTGCCCCTTAAAAAAAGGAACCATAAGTAGCTTTGCCGCCGTACTCGTTAACACATTATGCGAGACACAATACTGCAGATGGTCATTCGGCCTTTGAGAAAGTCTCTGCTATGTAAATCTGAGCATATTTGAGTGCACGCAGAAATACACTAGGACCGAACAACACAGCAACCCCTTCTTCTCGGTTTATCTGACAGCGTCTGACGTTGACACAAAGTAGGCTAAAGCGGAGCATTTAATCTCTGTTTCATTCAATCCGGACAAGACGCAGTCTCAAACGAAACGGCCGAATCTGCGACCCTAACTGTTAGAACAGCGGAAGGCGAGACGCGCCCTTGAACGGCCGGACCCGTTCATCTCTGATGTGGAATGCGCAACAGCTACTGTGCGCCTGTAATAAGACGTCTGAGTAAATGACTCAGACATTTCGACAGCGTTGTGCGATGCTGGTTAAAAACTGATTATTACAAGCCTAGTCATGATTTGCTATTCAAGTGAAACATAGCGTACTCCCTGCGCGCATTTTTGCTATTGTTCGTCTTTAATGCAGTGAGATCCACATTGAAAGTTTGTAGTCGAAACGAAATCTCTATTTGTGTCCCACCGTGTAAGAAAAAATAGGAAATCATTGATACCATTGCTTTTCTCCCATACCGATATGTTGAATTTAACGTTGTAGAACGTTTCTGAAAATGGTTGTAAATCGTTCTATAGTGACATTCTATCGTAACTGTTAGTTGCGCAATCAGCACATCCGATTATTTATCCGGGCCGAATTAGCTGGAAATTTTCCATATGTAGCTGAATTTCTCAGGCTGGCTTGTAGTACAATTATGTATCAGTGATAGAGACAAACTGAGTATAGTCTTAGTGTTCTTTGGAGCGTTCGGTGAAATTTGAATAGTCGCTAGAGCATTAAGTTGGTACTTCCGCAATTGGTTTTCAATTTTTTTCATTTCTTCATACCTTCTACCTTTTCATTATTTGCTTACTTCTACACTATGTCCTTCGTAATTTAGTTACGCCGAGAATGGAATTGTATATAACGTCCAGGCTCAAAAGATGAAGCTCCAGGTGAAAAGAGAAGTTGGAACAATCTTACATACTAAATGATATTCGAGAAGAACGAGGCTGTCAACAAGAATCTGTTGAAAGAAACCCAGCAACATTGAGTAAACGAGGCTACTTAACAGAACTCACCCAATAGACAAGGCTAAATTGTGCTTCTTTATGATTATGCCAGACCAGACGTGACAAATGCTGTAAGAGCCGTCAACCATATTCTTCACAAGTCATTCCGACAGATTACTCCTACATGTAACAGTAAATGAGGGATCTAAAGAGGGGGATTGAGGCACCAATCAACAAGTTCTTCAACACTAGAAGTGATGATTTCTAGCGAGAAGGAATAAATAAATTCATAAAAAAAAATATGTCATAATAAAAATGTATCATAATATACCTTGCACTGGTCTGTCCATTTCAAATCACTAACAGGATGATGTTTTTATGGGATATTTATTCAAATATTTATGGCAAATGATAGTTTTTGAGGATAAACTCCTTTTGCCTCTAGCTATAGCTTCGTTTGTGTATAATTGTTGTGGTGTGAAGTCGAACAGTAGTAGCAATGCTTTATCTCTATTCACTAATGTTGGCTGTTTAATGCGGCGCCCGTTCATCATATTTTTCAACTATTGAGTACTTCAGCTATAATCTACGAATCAGGACTCAAGAAACCGCAGTGGATAGCACTTGCACTAGGCCGGTAGGCCCGATTCGGAAGCTCTTATAGCTAGCTCTACGCGTATACTTTAGGGTGAGGTCCTGCTGAATCACTGCGTTCATCTTGTGATCGTGCGATTACCGTAACAGGTCCATTTTTCACTACAGGTTACAATTCGAAGAAACAATAGATAACGTGAAAATGAAGAAAGCCAAACATGTTTACACGTTTTCCCGCCAGAATCACGCGTTATTCATTTGTCCGATTTTTTTTTATCTAATAAATTTAAGCGAAGTCAATAATTTCGGTATTCTTCCATACTCCAAATCTCAGTGCGAACTCTCTTGCATTTTATTGGCTTCCACTACATTACTTCCAACACGTTGTTATTTGTTATCACAAAAGATCTCGGACGAAATTCACCTTTTTGTCGAACATTGTATTTCTTAATTTCTCTATAAAGCAGTGCTTCCATACCTCACCAAATACAACGGTTAGACCATGAGCTGTGTGCACCGATGCAATTTCTTCCAAGGTGATACTGTTTCGTTTATATTCTTTGCATGGCGATATCAGGATGCATGATTTTTGTTCCTCAAGAGTCCACAGATGCATCTTGAACATCAAAAAGATACCATAAATATATTACAAAATGGTGCCATTTCTGGTGCCTCACGCTGATTGACTTCGTATATGGTAAGCGTAGAAGAAACAGACTTCTTTTTTTATGACCCATATTATATGGCGCTATTCATTAAGAATTTTTATCTCATAAACGTATTAGCCTTTAAGCAGAAACACAGTAGTAACAATTATTTTGCCAAAAAACAAACCTAACTTAGACAGTTTGATACAGTACGGATTACATTGGCACTATTTCCTCTGTATAATACAGCGCCTTGCATACTCTCAAGCGAATCACGCGACCAGACCATGTGGCGTACGCGAATAGCGTTTCCAGTAGATTTAATTACCATCGTTAGTGCTGGTAAGTGGTAAGTTTTGTTAACTTTGAATTGATTTTTAATAATTTACATGTTAGTGTTACTTTGAAAGCTTATTTCATTGGGTCACAGGATTTGCCTCCTAGAACGGAAGTATCTATTGAAAACTTCACCACTTTGTATAACATCTGCAATAAATTGATAACGACTGTCAGAAATTTCGCATTAGAATCAACTGTGTATGGACGCTTAGTATGACACACTATTTATTTTTATCTTAGACGTGTTATTTAATTCAAAGCACAAAAGCGGATCAGTTGCTACAGGGCAAGCCATGTAATTTATTTGCAATATGCGATAACTTCACAGATCTCGTAGGCGATCCGTCAGCAGTTTCCATGCGGCTATAGATCTAGTTATGTCAGGGCTGCAGATCGTTTGCAGGCGGTATATGAATGGATTTCATACTATTTGAGGGACTATACATAGAAGGACGATACGGTAGTTGAATTGTATGATAAAAATGTGTCCTCTGAAGCTGTGAAATATTTTCCGTTGCATCTTAAATGCATCCCGAAGCTTTTCAGGATCACTTTAATGAACGGATGCCTACTCTACGTTATTCAATAGCATACGCAAAGCCAAGCGCTACATTCAAAAGTCCAGAATAGTGTTCCTGAAACGCGCTCCTGCATAATCGCTCCTTCTTAGCCTTAGAAATGGGCTAGACCTTTGCCAAAGTTTTGGCCCAACTTGCCAGGATTGTAACGCTTGATGATAACCCTGTGTAATCTAAGCAAAGAACTATTCGCTTATTTAGTATCGATTGTTGTTTAGTTGGTGCATTTAAATTATATCCGTAGATATAATAGAAGTAGTGTTTGAACTATAACAATTTTCTCAATAAGTCTGCGCCGCACCAAGGCCCCTATTCTGTAAACCCATACAAGGAGCACTTTAACTTACTGTCTATATATATGTCTACTCTGTCGGTCTAGGTAAAAAAATAATCAACGCAAAACTACTCAGTCAATGGCGTACGTTTGTTCTCGCTGTCCGATCATCAAAAGCAGGTAAGAGTCCATAGGCATATATGTGCGGATGTTTTTTGGCGTGGTGGTCTTGAAAACAGCTTTTACAATTTTTGTGATTTTATTTGTCTAGGCTTGATTTGATAAGAAAATACCACGGTGGAAACGATATGCGTGGAACAAGTCCGTTCCAAGCGTATCGCTTCATCGTCAAACAGCCTGCTTAAGCCCCAATGCAAACGAAAAAAGGCTCAATAGTGGGGGGGGGGGGTTTCGACAGTGGTTCTATTTCGGCGAGTATCGTTTTTGTCTTATTTGCTATTTTGACTTTTACTGATATGGATTAGATAGTGGGGTTTTACCTTGAAGTAGCAGAGTAACCGTGGCCAGTTAAGACCACAGCAGTGGCAATTCGAATGCTGACGACGAGGCTTTATACGAACGAGTTCTACTACTATACTTATACATGTCTGGATCACTGTAGGGGAAGCACAACTGAAGCAGACTCTCTGGAACAAACTGATCGGGTTAATGACGCACGCTGATGGGTGTATAGCAGAAAAAAAGGGTGACCCGAACAATTAAATGAGTTGGCTGGTGAAACAACTGGTACTGCAGCAGGTTAATGAGGTATAACTGGGTAACACGTAAGTTGAACGAATCCGTTTCAAGTCAAAGACGAGGTCGGGCTTGAGGTGGGTTAGATAAAAAAAAAAAAAAATAAAAAAAACAAACCACTATCGTGTCAAGTAGCATCCGAACTATGTATGTGTTACGGATCTGTGCGCTTCAATGTCTGTAGGCGAAGTTGAGCTAGCTTTATATAGAATCTATGATGCTGTTCGTTAGCAACCAGCTCGATTGGCGACAGGCGCTAGGTCGAAATATTTATAGATTAGGAAAAGTTTGCTGTGCCAGCGTGGCATGTAATTTTTTGTGGAAATCGTTACTAGTAGCAAAAAAAAAGTTCAGTAGTAGATAATTATTTCCGGAATGGGTTCATACATGGACGGTCCATGATGTAGCGACAAATCATATTACGCTGGCTATACGCCAATCGATTAACTGAGGCAGGTAGCAAGTACCAGAGTCGACCACCCTAAATGCCGGCTAATTTACTACGAAGTGGAAAATTCACAGATGAATGAGCAGACCGAATACAAAGTAGCTTTTACCTTTACAAATGCAGTATGTACAAACAGTAAAATCAAAAGAACTTCAATACATTTTATTGTGGCAATATTTTGCATGGCAATGGCATGCAAAATTACGCCTGCGTACTTCGTCGTGCACGAACTTCTAGTGGATGACGTATCGTCAGCTTCGTTTCAACAACGCTCGATGGTAAGCGGAAACTGCCTTGAAAATAATTGATCAAAGTTATCCGTTAGTTAAAGGGTCAGGGTCTACTTTAGACTACTTTTATCGAGTGTTACAAATTGGACAATGTCGCAACTCGATGTTCGTAGTTATATATATATATATATGTGCATTCAACATGTTTAAGATAACTGTGAATGCCTTTGCCACAACAAACAAATAACGTTCACTCTACTGCCAACCCCTTGCACTATACGGTGCAATGGGAATGCGGCGGGGTACTTAATGCTAGTGTTACTTAATAAAAACTCTCTAGTGCTGAGGGGTAGTCGCTGCTTGACCATGCACAGTACTCCACCCAAATCGACGAGGCATGCATAATCCACTGTAGTTATAATCAGACGTATTGTTTCAGCATCCGTGGCGATTTCTTTTATCAAATCAGGTGGATTAGCTGAAAATCACTAAAAACTCAATTCAATGTGAAAGACGTAAGGGAAGTCTGTTCCTACAGGCACGATTCAGGCAGGTCCTTACCTCGAGTGCCAATTAAATAATGCCAATACGTTATTTTTCGAAATTCACGATTGCTACAGATTCCCAAGGTTAATCGTAGTGGATGTCTAATTTCGATGAGTAGAAAACAGGTGATGGCGTATAGTGGGACGCTTTACGGGACTAGCGAGAGTTATTTGAATATCTCTAAAGATGAGATTGTCGGTTCACTTTTTAAATAAGGCGCTATCGAGTTTTAGAAACGTCTTGTGACGTTAGAGTTTCGTAAATTCACAGTTGAACGCGCTTAAAATGAATAATCGTCGAACTGGAGTCGAGTCAATGTCAGCCATTGCTTGTTTCGTTTGTCAAACAAAACTGACCCCCTTTGCGGGAGAGAAAATTAACTTTCCTCTGTGTAGGGTCCGTTATCCCCCTCTCCTTCATTCTCTCACGTTCTGTTTCTTTTACTCTCTCTAACGTCTATGTATGTAGAAGCGCAACTGTTAGCAAGTATACAGGCCTAATTTATGCTAATAGGCATATATACTCATATGCATTAGATACATGGGAAGGAAATCCGGTACAGGGACGTAAGTTTGGCCGTCCTGTAATATAAAAACTTGGCAAACACATAGTAGGCAAATTGTATGAAGTATAAGATGTATAGCAGGTAAGTAATGCAGGTGGAGGAATCTTTTCTTAACTAGCCTTTATAGAAAAAAAAAAACAATGATAATACATGCTTAGAGTTTCTCTATTTTACACAAACGAACAACTAATGATTGCTTTTTAAACCAATCATACATAACTAATCTACTTTTAATGAATCCGCAGCATTAACTTCTTGATGGAGGTAAAAGTTTTTAGGTAAATAAAGTAGAACAACTATACTATTCCCGGTATGAGCTAATAGTATGAGTTGCAGAGAGCGTAGGAGATACGCGATCCTTAGTATTTCGTCGTCGAAAGGTTAGTTTAATAAATTAACTTACTAGGCCATTTAATATCTCTGTGGTAAACGAAGCTAACTCTGTTCTGTAGCTATTTTCATTTGCATTTGAAGCGGGTAAGAAATACGGATTAGATGAATTCTTGCAAAAAAACAGATGTCTCGATTTTTACCTTTTCAATGTTTAAGTTTTGAATATGATTCTTATTAATAGTCCTTATGGTGATAAGTAACACCTATAAGAAGACTGTTTTTTAATGATTCCATAATTTTAACTATTTGCGTTGATGTTTGAGTGTTAGTTATGGGGCCCCACACGAGTGGCCGACTACGAGGATTTGATAGACTGATAGGATATTAATTATAATGGAATTGTTGAGCCTATTTCAGTTAGTGCCATTGTATTCTTGTTCTTTGCACCATTTCTCACTCTTCTTTTTTTTCTATTGGACAGTTGTCGAATGAACGCGTCGATATTTAGACGCGTACAAACACACTTAAACATGTAGGAACATATAGGAAACAGATACCCAGCCGAATGAAGCCATATGCAGTCAGGGGGCCGCTACTGATTGGTGGTGTAATTGCTCATGGAGGCATCTACAGAAAGTGTTCGAAGTCTTTCTTTGGCAGCTAGTCAAAACGTACCTTTTCTAACAGATAGTGATAGATATACGAGGAGAGATTTGTGTAATTACTATTGATTTTTAGCGTAATAAAGCTATGCTGGCATAAGTCATTAAAGAAAAAAACGGAGTCCAGTATTTAGTATATTTTATTTTACGAACAAATAAAAGCACGCGTATCGTATGGTCGTTTGCGAGCGCTCTCTTACAGTATGAAGATCTAGACAATAACAGACGAATCATTAGGATCAATATTATTCACCAGATTTGATTCGAGTGTTTATCATTCGTCTGTCACACACAGGACACAAATATGTTAACAAATAGTAAAAGTTATATAGGAAAGGTAGAAAACATTCAACTTAGCGCATGGAGTTATTTTTATAGTACGCGTTGATTCGGTCGTCTAATTTACAAACACTCCCGCCAGCAGCGAGCCGTAACTTCGACTCACTATCTCACAAGTAAGATGATTTCTGTCGTTCATTTTCGTGGTTTTTTTCTCATCGTTGCGAGTACACATCTGGCATTTTTGTATACCTGCAATAACTTGCATCGTCGTTTCGCATAGAGTTTATCATATGCTATCGCATGCTGGCATGAGCGTTATAGAAGCGTTTTCTATGATACGCAGTTGTTGAATGCTCGCGCCAGCTGACGGCATTTGGACAACTGGCCGTAAAGGGCTAAAATGTTTGCCTTAAGATCACAGATTTCGGCCTTCAGTCGGTGGTCGGCTGCACGGAGCTCCTGATTCTCGATGCGGAGCCGGCGTATTTCGTTGAAAAAACTCGCTGGCATCTTCGAACAGCTCTGGCGAACTTCGGGTTGAACAAAAACCGTTATGTCCGTCAATGCTAAACTTTGACGGCCGCCTGAACAGACCGTCTCCACCATTCGTGATCTGATTGGACCCGCACGGAGCATTTCGGAGAGATGCCAAGGACGTTACAGACTGACAGCGGCTTACCTAAGAATTAACGAAAGCAATATAGATTTCTTTTAGTAAAGAAAACGTTGCTGCTAGCCAATTAAGTAGTAGTACTCTAATTTGGCGTGAATGTCTTCGAGAGTCGGCCATGGATGGTAAGAGATGCAATACTTCTGCAGGAAATACCGTAACAAACATGTTTTTGTTATGTAGTTGAAAAATACCAGCCAGATAGAACGATAATCGTCGCAACTGAGGCGAGTGTTAGTGTTGATCGATTTCGAAAAAAACATGTATGGTCAATCGTGGGCAACAGGCGGTTCCTTTTCGCCTCCTTTGAGTACATCCTTCGAGTATATACTCAAACGGTATCATTATTTTTGGGCTTTAAATTACTTAGGGGTTACTCGCTAGCGGATTCTACAAGCAAACTCGTAACGGTAAGCCTTTGCGATCCTTAGTGATTATCTCTGAAATAGAACCTAACTGCGCTGGCTAGTAAGTTCGTTGTAATATATCTCTACGACCAGTCGAATAATTTACGATAGAGCAGCAACTTTCGACGACATGTAAAAATGTAACAGATGTTTCAATTCTTTTCATACGGCTGAAGTCTTTGACTAGCCTTATTGAAAGAACTCACTTTGAATTAACTCATGTATAAGATATCCATTGAGATCTAACTGACGACGGTCTGAAGCGTATTACTTCTGAGCCACTTCTCTGTCAAATGTAGTAGATTTATGTTATGCTACTGGGTGCTAGAGGTTATGGCACCCATTTGCAATTGTAAAAAAAAATAGCCACATAGAATGTGACAATGCTTAAGATGCAATATATAGCTCATATACTAGTATTATTATTAGCGTGAGCCTAATTTAGCTACAATTTGAATTTTCTTGGCCTATGGTTTTTATAATATACAGGACACGCCAGCCACACAACACATTTTAGTTAAAAGTGTGGCAAGGGAAAGCCCAAACAAAAGCTAATCTGGTGACAATAAAATGAAAATACCGTCCAAATTAGGTAAGGCAAGTCGTTTTTTCAGATGAAATAAAAAAGCGGCCACGATCGAAAACTTCCGAGCCGGGCAGACGATATCCAAACTAAAAATTTATTTGATCAGATAGAGTACCAATTTAGACGGCTTTCTAAGTTCTTGAAGGGGTTCCTTAGACAAAATGTGAAGAACCCGCAAAAAAGACTGAAAAATGTGATAACGACAGCCATGTAACGGAATGCGTATATGTCTCCTTTCTACTTTCAAAGGGTGAAAACGAGATATCTTGAGAGTAAGAAACTGATCAGAAAGGAATACATGCATATATGTTGATTCTGGTTCTCTGGTGCGCTATTTAGCAGATTATTCTGCAAATGAACAAAGCCAACACCCTCCCAAATGAGCAACCCCCAAAAGTTCCTCTAATTGTTCATCATAAAAGCTAGAGAAAGTCTCTCAAACGATGCTAAGTGGAACGCTAGTTCTCTCCCATTTTCTGCTGAGCCTGTTAAGCAGGAAGCGGGATCGAGATTTTTTCTGGGGGGAAAATATTTCCGCTGATTAAGACTGAATCGAAGAAACCATCGCTGGTACGTATGCAATCTGAAAGTGTTCAGCTTGAGACTAGAATAAAATTTCCGAGTGTTGCATAATAGTGAAGGTTGCGGAAAAGAAAACCATTAGAGAACAAGCGAATACCTAAAGGCTTCATAAAGTACCCTGGGCATCGGCAGAGTGGTGCATGAAAGCAATTATCTTTCAGTAAGACAGTGCACCCACTCACAGCACCCATTTAGTTCAGAAGAATCAAAAGGACATACCTTTATCGAACTATTAAGATAATAGGTTACAAAATTAAAATACCGTTTATAACAAGTGTATCTGTATTTTTCATACTTAATAATTTATTATTTAATACCATTTATAGCGTCGCACTAAGCAGAAGCTAACGAACATCTTCGTTAGAAACGAAATAGTTGCTTTTTTAATATCTTCCTAAAGATAGTAGAGAAATACATCAATATAGGAAGCAAACGTTTCCGCATAGCCTATACTGTATATGTATAAAAGTACACTAATCCTATTGAGAGCGGCCGGAACCCGCGAGCGGTATACTATGAGAGCTCAACACGGGATTAATAAAAATGTAGTACGCAAACGGAAATGACCAGTACTACGAACTCCCAAGTCAGTACTTTAATACACTTGGCAGACTCTTCACTTTGTTAAAGCATATTTATTAACATAGAACGGCGGCACACACTTAGCGAGAGTAATTGCAGGATAAATTTAAACGCTACTGCGGGTTACGTGGTTTTTTTTACAATAATAATATCGCAATAACAGAAACCCTGTCAAAAAATAGGGGATTTCAATTAGTAACACATCGTGTGATCCCGAGGCGTGTTTAGTCGACAGTGACATTTATCGGTAACGATCTCAAGACACATTTTTGTATGCAGAATAGTCGTTTGCAATGTAGCCTGCTTGGCTGTATGTGTAATTGCCTTTCGTCTTTCAAGTTCGTGCGAACGTAACAGCTAGCGTTCTTTTGTTCGTATGAGATTCTACCATATAAAGGATAGTGGGTAAGAAAAAAAGACAGGTCGTAGACGAGTTTGGTTGACGAAATCTCGTCTGCATCATGACCAGTTTGCGTTTACCCATGCAATATCTTGACGTACCTAATTAGCTTCCTGTGCACGCCCGTACAGCTTGACACACAGCGACAATCGTACAGGCTCAGGTTACGCACTCGTGTACAGGCAGGGCGCATTAGGAGACTACGTACGCGTTCAAGGAAGGACTAAATGGGAAGTTAGCCAATGGAAACGGTAACGTTTAAAGAGGAAGCGTTTATGGAACACGCAGATCAGACACGCAAATTGGTTGGTGGTGGGGCAGTTCGAACGATCTGAAATTTAGACCTTACGAGGTACCGTTGTTTATCTGACAATTGAAAGATGGCATCTAGTATTTTAAGCCCGTTTAATGTTCAAACAAATGTCTCTGTCTCAGACAGAGACGTTCGTTTGAAAATAGAAGAAAATATCTAGCAGTGTTATAATAGATTTTAGTACAGTCTAAAAGAAGCAGCAGATAGGCATTTCTAATCAGCTTTTCCTTGCACAAGACATTCAGCGAAGAAGTGCGACGGTACATTTAGTTACTACGTTAGGTGTTTACTTCATTTGTCATCCGTATCTTACACGATATTTCTATTGCACACAGCTAACTTATTAAGCACTCGTAGACACTTACCGTTCCTTTGGATACTGTCTCGTCCTTGACATCAACTTTCCGGATCATTCGGACAATTTCTGGCCTATCGCAAGATGCCACAGATAGTGTTTTGTCGGAGCCGACACTGCTGACTGACTCCTCCGTCTCTGAACGTATCAGGGGGGTCGGCTCCAAGTTACGCATCATAATAGCTTGCAATTTTTTGATCAGCAGCACCCTCTCAAATATGTTTGTTAGTACTAATATTATCTTACATGATATGTTTTACACGCTACGAATTGAGCGACTTTAACTTTAAAAGTTTATGTCACTAAATGCTTTTACTAAGATGAGAACAATCCAAGAGTTAGCTGGTTCCTGCGCGCTAGTCGCCAGACCTCCAATATTGCATCTACGATACGGGAAAGGGCCATTCGTCACAAAGTCCAGGATAGAACGTTGTTGTGTGACAGTCTCTCCCCAGCTTCGTGGCGGTAGCTAAATGACTTACTTTTGTCAGTGTTGGCTCTCCTTGTCCTGCATGGCGGTAGCTGGTCTATAAAAAGAGAATCGCGGACAACAAAAAACGCCGTTAGGGCGCGAGCATTTATGGAACACGAAAACCCAGCAGATATTGTCATATAAGCATTTACTGTGATTCATTAACCCATACTTCATATTTCAGAAAGTGATAGGTTCCACTCAGACTATTATTGTCTTTGTTCAAACCTAATTTCAGGTAAACCTGGCAGTTGGGAATCGGCCTATCAATCAATCAATTAACTTAAGTCATGACAGACGTATTAACATAAAACAACAAACACAAGCTGCAGTGGGGTACTATTTATAAGGCCTATTATCCATTTATACTTACGTTGGTAAATAGATCTCTACACAAAGAGGATATGGCCGAAGGCAAACATGATATGAGAATATTCTAGAACCTTACTGCTTAACTGGGTGCTTTATGTCAAGAATTGTATAGAACAGACTTACAATGTAAAGTTTCTTTACCATGAGGCAAAATCGACTGGTCGAGCTATTTTTGATGTGAGCTAATGAAAAGCTCGAACTATTCAGCCGTTCCATTGGCCAACTGAGTTAACAGCGGTCCATCTTGTATCTGTTTGATGAGTTTAATTGCTGCCAGGTTATTTGTAGGTGAATGACTCGGTTGTGATATGGTGTTTCCCTAAATCGCCCGCTCTTTTCATAATGCTCCAGAGAAAGACGTCTCTTTGCCCTTCTTGTAGGCCGGTGCAGCTTTGACGTCTTATTTTAACACTTGCCCTAGGACATTTACCGTATGAGATTAGAAGAACTATATGCGCTGTAATATGCAATACATACACACACACACACACATCCAATATAAATAGTGTTCCATTTTTGATGTTGTGAGCGTGTCTGTCTAACAAGAACGCTCCGCCATAGAAAACCAGAACTATTTCCATTGCAAGAAGCGTTTAAAATAGACGATATTGTAGCTCGTTGCATATGTCGGACGAGGTAGCTTTCAGGATAATTATGTTAAAATTATTCCGCAGCGCCAACGACGGGCATTGCCGAACCCCACACTAGATGAAGATTTGGCAATAGGGTCCAGGATGAAGGGATCATGACGAGATCGCCCGCCATCTTCGATACTATCAGTCCATTTGTCACTGTTGCCGTGAGCTTCCTCTGGCCAAACTTCCTTCCGCGCTTCAACTCGCGTCAAAAACCTTTCATCCATCGCAAAAAGAAGCCCGGGTCAATATACAGTTATACAATATAGTGGCAGCATGATCAATGTCTCTAAACTAGAAATACATTAACAGCGTTGTAGAGCACGCACAAGTCGATTGGTGGCTTCGCAAGGCGCCAGCTTGAGATCAAGTACGTTACTATTTGAGCTTCGTTTTTGAGGAACTCCGTGTAAATAATATGCCGGCTATTTAGTAATAGGAACACTTCCTTCTGCTCGCTCCGGGATCGCATTTAAATAGCGTAGACGTGTTTGCTTGCATGTCTACCAAACCTAACACTAGTCACACAAGGTAACTCGGCCTAATCGTAAGGGTAACTGCAGCTACCCGTGTGGGCAATTCCAACAACACAATATTACGACCGTGGAAGTTCCTAAACGCATTTACAGATGCAGATATGAAGACAAGCCAGCGATGCTGAGGAAACGATTAGCACGAAAACGAATGGAAACGCTGAACGGCTATCGACATCTGACACAGTTCACGAAATGAATTCTCTTGATCAGATGCATTTTTCAATATTGAATAAAGTAACAAGGAACAAATGCTGGCTGACCAATTTCTTGCGACATACGGGAGATAAACTTTATCCTAAACGATCTAGCACATTGTTGCAGTATGAACATTATGCTATTTCGTATAGGAAGATGATTGTATTTGTAAAGTCCAAACATTCGATTTGTTCGCAGCAGTCATCAGTGGGTTTTGCGTCTCAGCTGTCATTAATTGTGCCTCGTACATCTATTGTACACACAGGGTGAACGCGATAATACCAGGCATCTGTAATGCTTTCAGTGAATATACTCAGCATAAATGCTTTGCGGTGAAGTTCTTTGCACAGTCATCAAAAGTTGACCCAAGATGAAACCAAGTCCAGCAGCAACGATAACCATGGACGTTTGGTAGCAGCGCGAAGAGACAACGCTAACTTATTTGTACGAAAGGAGGAGACGTAAGTCTACACTGGAATCGCTTGAAAGCTAGCAGCTCCGGGCGCGTCATCAGGAATATTTGTGCCTTCCCTCAACATCTTGTCCCGCTCTTGTACAATACGTATTGCCGAGCAATTTTTGGCAGCAAAAAGAAGACCTGCGCGCAGGAGAATGTGTAAGAATACAAGGGAGAGCATTATGCCATTAGCAATCGGTAGAAAATTCTCTGCTTTTACCAGAGAGACGCCGACGTATCCAAACAGAATCATTTCAGATACCATTAGTATGCCAATTAATGAATAGGGTAGCTGATTAGCTCCTTCGTGTGAAGTAGCCTTTAAAATTATCATGTTGCAATCATCTAATATTGCGATGGAAAAGGAGATGAGTACCAAAGAGGCGCCATATTTTTGGAAAAGATTTGGGTACATCAGCCAACAAATCGGAATCATCAGAAGGTCGCAAATCGCCTTCGCCAATATTAGTAGGCCCAAAACGGATCGAACGACTTTTCTAAGATCGAACCTATCGCAGTCTAATTCCCGACTGACAACCTTGCGACAACTTTTACAGCATTTGGCGTCGCCCATTGACAATACAACGAAATGATAAGTAGATCGACTGAATCACAGTGAGTCTGATCAGAATCGGAAAGAACTTAACTGGTGAACTTCGTTGTTGCCAAACAACTCCACAATCTTCAGATTCGCGTAGTTCGACGCTGGAATAAAACTATACAATTGTTTCAACGGAGTTATTACTCATGTTGTAGTTTTGTAACAGGTAGGGTAGATTTGGAAGAAGACTACGCGTTATATAGAGAGCGCGCCAATTGAACCCAACAGAGGAATTTGGCATTTTCGTCCTTTACTGATACAGATAGCATACACTTACAAATGCGAAACATTGCTATCCGTTTATATAATATAAAATCTGCGAAAACCTAATGCCTATACTATTCCTAAGTCCTTTATAATATCATAATATATTTTTAATCGTGCTCCGTCTACACTCCGTCAAAATGTAGTAAAGACTTTGCGGTTGGGGATACCCCATTGCTCTGACCGAATTAGTAGGTTTTAGACTCGTAACTACGCAGTTTCGGGTAAATTCTCAGCTGAGTTTCAGAGATTTGAATTCCGTGTATATCAGTTTATTGTGGGATGAGCAATTTATAACAGTAATAATAATATAATGATAAAAGGACATAACGATGACCGATGTCGACGGCGGACAATGGACGGATGGCAAGCCAAAATGCGGGGAGGCACAGCATCCGGGATGTGCGGACATGTTTGAAACGGTTCCCGCAATCTTGTCCCGTATATCAAGGTTTTCAAAACTATTTTGGGTTTGCTCTTATGCAAACTACGTCTCTTAGCCCAGTGAACAAGCAAGACAGTCTTTACGTTAGATACATTGGCCTTTTATTGATCTGGATTGAAATTGGATTTTCAATGCAGTCGTGTCTGCCGCATCTACTACAGGGCAAAGCACCTTCAAAGTCAGCGACTATATATTCATCGATTGCATACATATATTTTAAGCGAAACACATCGGCGAAAAAAAAAAACGGTATTTAACGGTCCTTAAAAAAACGTTGCGGAAGATATAGTATACATAGCTTTTTTTTGCCATTCGTTTACTCTAAGGAAAATCTCCGTTTCGTGTAGCCTTCGGATGTCGTTGCAATGGACAGAACGTTAGCTATGGACCGTGCACTAGCGCGGACGACGCACATACTTGAATGGAACAGTCGGTTAGCAATACAATAATATAAATTGATCTCTAGTAAGGTAACATTGTGGTGGTAAACTCATAAGCGCCATGATAAATCGCCAACAGGTAACAATACATCAGTCTAACACTGGAAGTAATGAGATACAACTTCTCATTCAGAATCGTATCCATGGAAGGTAAGCTTCAGGACTCGGTTCAAAATCAGTTGATGTACGACGGTGGGGGTTCCAATACGAACCATACTTGCCAAAGCAGGGATTATCCTTCTTGGGAGACAATAAGAGAATGGAGTTGACGGATTGCCGAGGAGAAAATGCAAGTATATCGAGCACCAAGGATCAAACGAAAAAAATAAAATCGGGTGATGACGAAGGCGCAGCGGAAACACAATACTATCAGTGAGGAAATAGCGCAGTTCCCAGGATAAAAAAGCTAACCAGGTTGCTAGAAAAACATGGGAACGCCCGAATAGGTATTAAGGTAGCATTCAGATGACTATTCAAGGACGTACTGGAAGGCAAATAGGCTAGGTAAGACAAAAGAACTTGGCAGAAGGGTAAAAAGAAGCACAGGGAGAGCAACAAGTCCCTAGGAAGCAAATAAGAAAACCAAAAAAGACCTAGACGCTTCAATAAGGAAGCAGGAAAGAAAGAAATGCATGAAAAAACAGCAGACCATCTGTGCTCAAAATGCCACTCAGAAGTTGAAAGGGAAGTACTGGGGACAACCAGAGCGAACAAGTTAGAAGTTAAAAAAAATCTTGGCAGAAGCTATTACTATTGAATCCTAGACGAAGATACTAGTCAACGAATGACCAGACAAGCTGTTCCTTCTGTCAAGCCAGAGCAATAAAAGTGTTATGACATTTAGAAAGGCCTGAGCTATACTGCTCAACAAGGAGTTCGATAAGAACATGGCCATGAGAACGACTCGACAACTACTGCCGTCAGCCTCCTAGGTTCCTGCCTTCCCAGTTGGCGCCGTGGCGGATCTAAACAAATGTAAGGGCTCCAAAAAAATTGATGACGAGAGGCGAACAGGCTCTGGTGCCCCTCAGCCAGTGGTACTCACAGAATCCCTGGTGATTGGAATGGTTGGGTCTGCCGAGTCTGTAGAAGGTTTTTTTAAGGTTCTTCGAGAAATGGTAACTCTGACAAGGAAGCTAAACGCCAAAGAAATTTCTCTTACACATATTTCAGAGGAGCGGAAAACATCCAGGAAAGCTCAAGGGATTTGGTGTCAGGAAAATGACAAAGTTATTGAATGTAACCAAGATAAGTAGGAGAGCCTTACCAGCCCATCGACTGGTAATTAAAATGCGCGAACTAAGGTGAGGGAAGTGAATTTTTCGTTGGCATCGTCGAAAAAGACAGCTGAAGTTTAGCGAAAACGTTGATCCGGATGCTGAAGAGATAAGAAAGGACCTAGTGACGTACTGGGCCTTCCGAAAGAAATAAAACTCCAATTGGAAAAGTCCAAAAGCTAGCCTACTGGCAATCTTTACGGGTTTTTAAAAAAAATTATCTTGAAAAAGGTCACGCTAGAAAACATATACAACTTGCCAGAAGGATAGTTTCCACTGTGGACATTTTACAACTACCAAAGAATGCAACGTAGGGGTAACCAGTACAAGTACAGCAAAATCTATGAAAAACGCTGCTATAACTACGACTTAGGTTAGGCCAACGTAGCTGAAAAGGTTCGATCTATTTTTGCTATGAGCGTGAAATGGACGGACACACAGCAAACTACAAGGCTACTACAAGTAACAGGGCAAACTACAAGAAACAAGAGGCTGAAGAAGAAATGTAGAAAGGTTATGTAAAACTGGCATTTCGCAAACTGACTGTAAGCGGAAGGATGCAACAGATATTAGCGACCGCAGGAAGAAGATCGTCAACAGGCGTTCAGGGACGGATTATACCTGAGCATAGCCCACAGCAAAGTAGCAATGAAATCATCAAAATCCTTCTAAATCGAAGTAAGAAAGCATATTATGTACCTAAGTGTGGTAGCACAGAGGTTTAGAATAGGCTTCTACCTACTGGACAAGCCAAGAAAAAAGTTGTAGGCTCCTCAGAATGGGCAGCTGATGGTAGGTCTGACACAGCGATTCGGTGAACGGGGCAACCAATAATCATGACTGTTTCCTGTATCCCCACCATATCATTAATGGTAAGGATACAAGAGTGAGATAGATCGGGTGGCACTTATTCATAGGTAAGGAGGAAGTCAGCCTAAATGATCATCACCGGTACATTACATTTACTATGGTTGCCAAGAGATTAGACTTATCACCGCGCCGTAAAGAGAGATGGTAGACGCTAAATCGTGTGACACTCGGAAGTAGGATCGATAGACCTTGCTTCCAGTTCCCAGGATAGATGGATGAACACATGCTCAGACACTACCTAATGGAAGCACGTAAGAAGGCAAATCCAGTATTTTCGAAACATCATAGAGGAAGTATATGTAGAATGACGAGAGTGCCGAAACTTAGACACAGAAGAAGATGGTACACGACAACACTCAATTGGTAACGAAGACACGCGAAGGAAGAGATGGAAGAAAGAATATGACCACATAGATATTATGTCTAGGCAGTTTCAAGTAACTGCGCACTAAAATTAAAAGGAGTCAGGCAGCCAAATGGAAAGGGTTAGTCGAGAAGGTAGAGGTAGACATGCGAGGCCTTCATATCGGATCACTATGACCATCGTACGAAACGAGCACCTCGACTTTTATCCGAGAGATTCAGGAGAATGGCCCCAACCCTGTTACAAAAATCTTGAAATTAGGCGCCTATACTTGCAAGAGAAATCCCAGAAGTGAAAGCAAAAGGGTTAACGATAGCAAAACGATATCTGGCCGAAAGAAAAGTCCTAAGCTTGAATGGGGCTTCATAAAGAGTTGTCAAGCTCTTCGTCAAGCGCAGGCGAACTCTTTATGGGCCTAGTAAGCAGACTGCTGATAGAACTCCGCTTTCTAAAGTTATAAGAAGAATCAGATCTGATCTTTGTATCCAAGCTGGCTAACAAAGGAGTCCGTCAGCCCACAGACCCATGTATTTGTTCTTGTAAGTGCTACAGCTAAAGTCACGGAAAGCATTATCATTGGTCAACTTATACAGAAACTGAAGTGTAGAAAGCGTTCTCGAAGTTTATTTAGCTTTCGAAAGGAAAAATTCACGCTTAAAGCGTGCTTGAAAAAGTGAAGTGTTTGAAAAGCTTGAGATAAAAGTTTTTGAAAACTAGAAATGTTGTGCGAGAATAGAATGCGAAAAACGGGTCTAACACCATGGGCTAAAGGGTGACCGTAACTGCACTAAAAGAAGGGATCTTATCATAAAACGATCTTATCATATTTATGACAGAAATCTCGGCACACAAACAAACAGATTATCAGTTATGACTGGGGTTGCCCAAGGGCTGAGTCTAAGGTCTACCCCTTGGAATACTGGTCATAACAGTGTCGTAAAGACTCCAGATTTTGTAGAAACAGTTGATTGTGTAGTATATGGTGACGATTTGGCGCTATTTGTCACGGCTAGAGCCAATTACATTATCGAGGATAGAGCAAACAAAAAGCTGGCACAATCGGAAAAATCATGATCAAAAATATTTACATGTAAGAAAAACGAGGCTCTATGTTTAATTAACAAAAAGCATTAACAAAATTGAAGATAATTTTAGGGGGACGAACAATAGCCCTGACAAAAATGTAAGTATCTAAGAGGATTAAAAAATACAGGTCGAACGGGGATTACTTGTGTAGAACATCTCGTTGATAAAACGATAAAAGTGACGGCCAACCTGGCATGTGTAAAGCCAAAGACAAAAAAAAAGGAAAATACCATACAGGCACTAGCCCCATTAGTTGGGTTAGTTGTTCTATACGCCTCGTCGTGGCAAGAAGAAGAATTTTAACAAGAGCCAAGCGACTCCGTTACATTCCGAAACGACAGTAGCCATAAAAATGACTACGGGCTTTAGGGCTACGGGGTTTCTGCTGCGACGGCCCTAGTGCTAGCCAGAATGCTCTCGTGCATCATACTTGGCGAGGAGAGGGCCACGTGCTACGTAGAGAATAGACTGGACTTGACCATTGCAAAAAACGCTACAGCCTAGAAATGCAAGGGTGAATGGTTGAGAGTATTACTAGAGTCGTATCTTCGGCCCGGCTAGAAGGAAAATAGAATTCGTAGGACTGAGCAGACTCACAGGTGAAGTGAGCAGGAGTACGACCGATTGAAGATAATACTATGGATGAGGCTAAAGGAAGCAAGCGAAACTCTTGGCCCTAAGCTAGTCACGTGCAGAAGGAGACACAAAATGGCTATTGAATGGATGACGTAATATCATATGTATCAAGGCTCGTAAAGTGATAGCACATGATATGAACCTCGTGCAAAAAGAGCATGAGTTAGTGAATAGAGACCTGGGTCTGATGTTAGCGTAGAGTTTGGAATTAGAATTTGAGACCAGTATGCTAACCCGAGCCCTCTATCAGGAGTGTTAATACTTAGATGTAACAGATTTTGATTTTCGTACTAACATCGTAGAACAGGGCTGTTAAGTTTTTGTTTTTGTTTTTTTTCAATTCATAGGCTATGTAAAGCCGGCATTGGATCAATGTTAAAAAGCGCGATTTTGTTTTTTCGACTTATTAACACTTAGGCTGTGGGCAAAAGTCATGAACTAACACTATGATATGTGCGAAGTAATTTATAAAATGGCAAGAATATAGGCGCATGGAAATTATGACACTCCATGAATACACCCATATTGTACGCATGATGTTATTCAATCGGTTGTAGAAGTGAAAAAAACATAAACCCCACTTTGTTTTCCTGCTTGCTTTGCCTGATTTTCCGTGTCTGAATTCCGTTCCTGAAGTCTGATTTGCCGTTTGAAACTGCCTCAAACCCATATGAATACCGTATACCGTACCATATGAACACTATTATCACACGTGGTTTTCTATGCAAATATGATTGTACTGACATATAGTCTGGCAAGCATTCAGGTAGAATGGATTGAGGTGGCAAACGTCTATGACAGTCCTCGTTTTAGGAGCTCAACCTCTATAAAAGTTGAATACACTCCTACAGAAGGTAAATACTTTATTTAATCATGTCTATTCTATTCAAGGAATCTGCTCGTTTCTCCCTTCAGTATTTCTATCTCGTTTTAAATATCGTAACGAGCTTCGTAGTAGTTTGTTGTAACACCGTAGCAAAATTTTTCAAACAGAAACTGGTATTATCGTGCAAATAAGTTCACCTTTTTTTTTTTCAAAGAAACTCAGCCATCGTTCGATAAACTTCTGGCCTAGAAGTACACTACTACTAGGTTTTCTTACTAGATTCTGCGGTGTTAAAAAAAACCCTAGCCAAGTTAGACACTTGAAGACACCACAGTAACACTAGTAAGTATGCAATCGTATAAAGTAACTTCTAACGAGTGCCGTTACGTGCTGTAGAGTGCAATAGCAGTAACAAATAGCTTTGGTGAACTTGTAACAGTGGATCCTGCAGTGATCCTGTGTTCTTTTTTCGAGAACCTTTGCTTTGCCGTTTTAAGTTAGCTGTTGATCTTGGTCAAGTTCGAAAAGTTGCTCGTACTTTTATCTTACCTTTATCTTAATAGTATTAAGATAAAGGTTGACGCAGTACAGAGCAGAAGATTTGTCTAGCTGCATAAGTGAAATGATCGCAATACTCGGGTTCCTCTTTATTACTGTATACTTAGTGTGAATATTTGCAGTTGAAGCTTTTCGGTTGCCGCTGTGGTGCGTTTTCCGCAAGGCAAGCCTGTTGCTTGATCCGCAATGTATAAGGGACATTTTTTTCCTGAATGTAATTGATATTCTTAATAATCTCTTTTTTGCTTTGCTTGAAGTTTTCTAAAGTGACTATAGGGAATGCTCCTAATGATCTATCTGCCGGTGCCCTTCGCATCCGACCAGCCTCGAGGTAGAAGCATCCAGCCACCGTCCCACGATCGATAAAGCAGAACACTGAGAAAGATCACGTTCAGGGTGAGTACAAGGAAAATGCAACTACCGATTGGAACAAGCGGCCTTTCGTGAACGCATGGTTTTCGTACAACGACAGCTCGCGGAATGTGAACTTTATGTCGTATGACATAATCGGTTTGAAACGCATTTCCTTCACACGTGGTCGGGCTGAGTTGCTGACCCTGCTGTTGCTGCTGCTGTTGCTGCTGCTGCTGCTGCTGCTGCAGCACTACAACCTGACCCTGAAGCTCGGCCTGCTGCTTCGGTCGTCCTTGCGCTGGATATTGTATCGAGACATTAGGATGCGGCGCAAGTAGCTTTTGGGTTCCTGCTCCTGAGAGAGTTGGAACAGTCTTACCATTGAGTCCTGTCTGCAAGTCGCCCTTGCCTGAAGCAACGACCGTTGGATGCGACCACTGTCGAATATCAATATTGATATCAACGGATTCGCACTTCTGCAATGCTGGATAATCGATATATACTTCGAACGGCTCTTGTCGTTGCTTGGCGGATGTGGTCGATGCTGGCGCCGTCGCAGAAGGCGATGGCTTGGTTACCGTGGTCGTCTCATCTGTAGGGGTCACGCTGGCTGGTAAAGCTCTATCGATTTGCTGAGTTGCAGCAGCAGAGGTAACTGTCGGTGTGGTAGAGTTTAGTTGGGTTCCAGCGACTGATTTGGCTCCGGCTGCCTGTTGGTTTTCAAAGTTTTCCTGGGTCCCAAAAACTGTTTGGATCTTAGCAGACGATTGATCCTCAACGGTCGTAGGGGACGAGCCTCCAGGCGGGAAATTCGGTGCCCGTGACAACGGACAATTAGTTAACGGTGCCATTTGTGATATCGGTGAAGTAAGATCTACAGCAGATAGTTTTCCCTGCGGTTGCGCATGATTCTGTGAACTACGTGTGAGAGCTTCATCTTGCGCTGTTGACATCTGGCAGGTTTGCTATAACAATCGAAAAGCTTCGTTGTTGTGTGTGGTTAACTGATTGAAGATCCTACTTTAGAATACATATGTGGACGATTGAAGCAATTGTTCCTGCTGACAACAGCGATACCTCACCTTATTCCCAATGAAGTTTTATGCCTTGCCAACTGCGCGATATCTGAGCAGTTGCACCTGAAAAACAGACTGCAAATTGCGCTTACGTCTCAGTAAGCGTCAAAAAATTTACAAAGTTATTGCAAGGTAAATTATTTAACTGCTAAAGAACATAAGGGCTTGCGGCATTTCATAATATTACATACTTTATGTGTCAATATAACAAGCTCGAATATCTTTTGCTTCGTGAATATCTAGCTTTTAACACTTGAGTTTATTGTAAAATCTGTACTGATCGCAGCCATGGGGTGCGAGTTAATTGAAATGAATTAAGGATCGTCAAAGCTACCAGCCATATGTTAGGCATTTGTCTATAAATTGCTAAACAGGATTACACCGTTTAGCTTTAATACCTCGTTCTGGTACAGTTTTTTCGTGCTTTCTGTTTTCTGTTCTTTTTCTATATTACGGCTTACAATAGACTTTTTTTTCCAGAATGTCCTGTTCGAATTCGAGGAGCAGGTGGTTGGAAAACGAGGTTCTACATTTTCTATGTGAAGTGGCTTTAATGAAGATGTTTTCTTTTTTTCCGTATAGTGAAAAGGTTTCGCGGAAGTTATCGAATCTTTAGCGAATAGGGCTTATAAACGGCTGACTGGCAGGGAAGATTTTTAAATATATAGCGCCACTTCGATTTGTTGGCTGGCGCTAGGGGAATTTTGGCTTTTTGAAATAAAACGTTGAACTGGCTTAAGGTATTGAGCAGGATACGATAAGAGAACTTATTATTAGTTACTTATTATTAGACTCGTTATTAATAGAGTCGATCGGGAATTGCACCTGCACGTGCCCTACAAAACAGAGAAGCAAAAAACGTGCAATGAACGTAACTGGGTATTTTCGAAAGCACCGTTTACAAACGAGTAAAAGTATTTCAACCTGCGAGTAAAATGGGTTACCCCCTCCGTACTAACATTGTTTGCCTCCGTTGTTTACTTGTTATCAAATCGATATTGAAAAGGTGTCAAAATTTTAATAGGATCTTTCGCCTATTTGGTTACAACAACCGACTTGAATTTCTTTTTAATAGTTAATTCAAACGACCTTATTAGTAATAAACACTATATGAATGGACATTCTTTTGAAAGCTAACTTGCCTATTGACTTAGGACGCATAAAAAACCCTTCGTTCTTCACTGATGTGTTCTTCCTTCATTGAAATGGCGTGTTGCCTTTGCGTATACACCATGACCATTTGAATAATAAAAAGTAGTTTCGCTCGAGGAAATATCAAAAAGCTTACATACAAAGCCTGAGGACGTCAGTGTCATCGAGCTTTATGAACTGGTAATGTCCGGCTACGTCAGGTGAGATATGTGTGCATTGCACGTAATGAAGTAGTTGGAATGTGGTTCCATACAACAACGGAAGCGGTCAATTTATAAGGACTTCGATAAATCCAAGCTTTTTGGTAAGTGCAATAGAGGTTTTCTGTTCTTTTTTTTTAGGCATAAGAAAATATAAACATTTGTACGAGACGTATGCTTAAAAAAGCAGGATCTAGAACTCCAGGAGGGCAATAATGTGGTGTCAATAAGATGCGGACTCTGAAACGATGCGACCGGTTCAGTAAAAAGTTATCACTTATTATGAGATTTCATACATATCTGTTAGAGGTTTATTGCAGTGGTTACCAATTACTAGAGAAAGATTGAAGCGATCTAATTTGAGTACGCTCACAAGTCGAAATGTTGACACTGTTGGCCATACTGCTAATCACAATGCCAAGTAGTTCGCAAGACGTCCCTTTGCGCGCCTCCGTGAATTTTTTGTCGCAGCAGCAAGAGACCCTCCACGTGTTTTTCTGTATAATTAATGTACTGAATGTACTTTGGATGGAATTGTTCTTCATATGGTCAGCCCCTTGGTTGACGTGTCCAGGTTCAATTGATGGATTTATAGGCGGAATAAATATTCAAGCCGAAGGCTGTCGAAGTGGCCCAGCTGATTTGGGTTATCGCTTTATACCCGACAGAGTCTAATCTAGTATTTGGTTGCTAACTGCTTAAACATTTAGGAACCAGCATTAGGGACCGGACAAGTTCTTATTTAGGTAGCAACCTCTGCTGTCAATTGACATTATAATATGAGAAACTTTTTTCCTCAGAAAGGAGCAAAATCAAATAATAGATAAGTAGGCATTTTCTATCTTAAGTAAACTGTGGTTGGTGGTGCTGTACCGCTCCCAAGTGCGGCCACGTCAGACGAAATGGCCACTATGAGTAATGTCAAATATTTATTTTCGACATGTTACTCAACGCCGAAAGCACCCAAGCGTAAGTGAGTGAACGGTACCTAAGATAGTAGAAACACAAACATGCTATCACGACGAAGATATATCATCGTTTATTTTTACTGGCCGAAAGGCTAACTAAGGCCTACGAAAAAAAAGACAATCCGCCTCACCGTCCTGAAACCGTACATGAGGTATCCTGCGCTGGATACCTGTTACATTCTGTCTGCCGAACTACCTACTCCCGTTTTTCTGTCAAAAGAACTGAGCCTGTTTTAGGCACAGAGGCATAAAGCACATTGCGCATTATTACCATTAGACGCTAGGCTATTTGGAACATGTGTGCTCGGACTGCATTAACGGATCCCTAGCTTTTCCGAGAGTCACAGTTTTACTGCAAAATAAAACTCTAGATAAATAGATCAGAGCATTGACAAACGCATCTAATAGCCAGAGTGAATGAACTGCGATGCCGAAGAACAGCACAGCTTCTGCGCTTCTAATAAGCTCAGGTCATCTTAGTAATATTACTAAACTTCATTCCTTGAACTCATACAGTTTTGCGCGTTCACGTGTGCTCAATACCGAGCTTTTTTTTTTTTGAGTATAACTTTTCAGTTAGCTGTAACAGCAATATGAATCTTAAGCTCTTTTGAGCATATGTTTCCCTAATTTCGTCACTTCGGTATCTCATTTGTGACTTCAACGCGTTCTACACTTCGCCACTGCCCTCTCGAGGCCCGCGGCTCCTCTTTATAAAATATACGTTTTATTACGGCCAAGGACCATTTATAAGCTCGAACACTTCTAAACATAGCAATATTCTAAGGGTTATTTGTATAGATAGCAGTAGTACTACTATTTGTCTTACAACAGACATATCCTTATAACTATGGTGGTCTATGGTAGGAATAGTGAAGTTTCTATAATCTACTAGCGTGATACACGGACGTAAATGAATGAATAGATAAGGCAAGCATTCAACTAATTATTTGTGATGTACCTCTTCAGATCCGTGTATCCTATTGTATTCTTATCTCTAATTCTGCTGAATCAGAACATTCATATTCAAGCGGTTTAATCAAGGTATAATGTTGGAAAATACCAGGTTGCTGATTAGAATTAATGGGTGTTCTACGGGCCAGCGTAGTCCTAGTTGCTTGAAACGCTAGCGTAAAGATTCACATCTAGAGTGGGCCGGAAAAACTACTCATGCTGCTGCTGCCATCTGCGTTCACTCTGTACGCAACTAAATTAAACAGCTTGACATTGTAATCTATGCCATAATGTGGCCTACAAAGCTTTACGTTACGTCCTCGACGTCTAACCATCCTGTGTCTATAAACTGCCAACTGTATCTTACTCAGCACGACTATCAGACCTGAGCTGATTAACCGTAATTCCGATTCTCGTCAGGAGACGTTCTCTCCAACCGCAGATTTAATATAGAAGAACAGACGCTTTAGATCGATTTTGAGGCGTTCTAGCTGTTTTAACCTTGTCTTTGTAAGTTGACAACAATGCACTAAATATTCTTCGAATCCATCGCATACCAGCACAGATGTTCTTCCATAATACTACCATAGAGACACCTAAAAATCGCGTCATATGTGAGCGTAATGAACGATCGAATTTGTTTGACGCTTTCTCAGACGAGTGCAGTACTGCGGCGGCTGCTAAGCCTGTTCTAATTGGTAGCACGTCAGGAAAATACTCTAGTCAACAATTGTCCAGCATGTCCGACAGCATGTTGGAATTTCATGTAGTAGGTTGTTTTCAACAAATATTTATATATTTGCTGATGCTAACGCGTCTCGTAAAAACAGACTTGAAACTGAAGAATGCATATTTAAATATTGACAGACCAGACAGTTTGTTCTGGACAAGCACTGTGCCGTAGGGGTCATCGATCAGACGGCTGTGTTCCCAGCATGAAACAAACGTTCGGACTCGAACTCAGACCAGCACGTACTTCTCAATAGCAAGCGAAGAAGCTCGTCACGACGCCATCAGCATGACGAGAAAAGCACTTCCAGCGTCTGGCGGCATGGCACACACTCTCCCTTGAGTTGGGCACCCTCACTGAAACGGGCCAGGTAGCACCATTTACATGAAAAATAAGCTAATATAACGGTGTTCGTTTTATCCGCATAAAAGCAATGAAATATTAGTCAAGAGGCGTTCTGGCAAATAGGTATCGGACATATATCGGCAGTAAGTGTGGCCCATAAATCAAAGTCGCAGTTATCCTGAAGGTGGGTGAACACGTTTTTACCCAGCATAGTAGGAGACAACGTTGTAAATAAAGGACATCTGTGGACAGCTGTGCAATCAGCGACATCCGCAGACATCAACGATTTCTTAAATAGATTCCGCGCCTCCTTAGGTAGTAGTTAACACAATATCATTGTGTAATAACAACTTATTAATATTTCCTTTATCTTTTTCAGTTAGCCGCTCTTGCGCCCTGACAATGACTTAAAACGTTTTCTAGAAAGGTATCAAGAACGTAGTGATCCCTTAAAATTAGATTACGTTTTGATCGCCTTTTATCATCGGTCTCTTTGACTTTTGAATTCAGGCCAAACAATATTGGCTACAGGCTCGATGACCTATTCAAAGAACTCGATTGACACATTCTCCCTGTAGTCAATCCATTTACCTAGGATACACAGGGCTAGCTCGTCCAGCTGAAGGTGGTCATTAGCAAGCCCACCCTAAAGTCGCAATAATAATAATATCATTAGCATGCAGTTCCCGCTTTGTGAAAAGTTACGCGTTAGATGGTGTCTTATCAATTATTCTGAAAA